CCACAGCTAATTATAACTTTATTGAGATGCTTTGGCAAGAGTCAAAGGCATTCAAGCAAACAATTTGTAATCGGGTTATATTCCCAGTTCTGCCACTGATAACATGTGACTTCAGCAAATAGTTTAAATACTCAGCTTCTTTCCTGTCTTATCCATGACACGTACAAAGCTTTTGAGGCATACTTATGGTTGGAGAAAAGGCACGCTAGCCTCTGTTGAGGGGCACTATAAATATGCCAAGTGTTACTACTATTAATGCACTAGCAGAACTTCTTAGGTCCCTGTAAAACACTTTTTTTTTTTTTCTCCAGATCAGTTTTTTTTGTATTTTTATCAGCTATGAAAAAGATGTCAAGGCATTTATGAGACTCCGCTGGATATATGACACATGATGTTCTTATACATAGCTAAGCTAGTTACTTTCTACATAGTATTTATTGAATGAAGTAAATAGAAACATGATTTAGTTACTAATGAAACTGTCATCGAACCATTGACTTTAAAATAAAAATTACTCTCGTCCTCATGACCACTTCCTTTAAATTCCTACAAGGGAATGCTCAGCAAAGAGTGTTACATCTGCCACTCTTCTGAGAGTGGTTGTTTGATGCTACCATAGAAAGTACAATTAAAAAGATGATATACTTACTAATTAAAAAAGCAAAACCAAACCAAGCAGAGAAGTGGTCTGATTGCTCAACAGTCTCAAGACTCTCTTGATAAAGACAGTACTTTCAATGAAAGCCACAGAAAGCAAAGAGATGATGGGAAGCAAGAGACAAATAAAGGAAACATAAATAGGAAGACAAGTAGACACTTTTCCGTCTCAAATATAGCCAAATGAGAACCAAACTGTGGGCTGGTGGCCATGCGGCCAGCGTTAAGGTTTACAATGGAGATTTAACTTGTAAACAAAGCCAAAGAGGAACGATGGTTGCACTATCGACTGCTACTAATGTAACGTGCCCACCACTGAAGTATCTGACAGTAATGGCTCCAGGCCAGCAGTTCACAAGTTCTTTAACCACGAGATCCCTACCAGTCCTTTAATGCATTAATGAGAGTATCAACCCCACAGCTTTTCAACTGAAAACACTACATAACGTGTCCCACAACACCACAGGAGCTGCAGCCGGTCCCACAGGCCCGACCAGGGGCCCGAGAGCCCGAGGCAGCACCGCGGGCGGGGTGGGGGGAGCCAGAGGCAGCTTTTAACAGTGGGTTATGAAACCGGTGACAAGTTTAGGCGGGCGGCCCTGGAGGGGCACCCGGAAAACTCTGGCGAGGCGACAAGCGCCGTGCGGCAAGCACCCGCTCCCCTCAGGGCCGGCCGCCATGTCACGCCCCTCCGCCCGGCGGCGGGGGGCGGCCGCCCTCTGAGGGAGGGAAATGGCCCCCGGTGGAGCCGGGCAGCCGCTCCCTCACAGGGGAAGGGACAAGGGGGAAGCCAGGGCAACGGGGACGGGCGCTCCCCTCCGGTTGAGGGCCGGATACCCCGGCCCTGCGCAACCGGAGGGGAGCGCCCGCCCGTGCCGGGGTTGGGAAGGTTGGGGAGAGGGGTGTTAAGGGTGGTCGCCAGTGTTACCTGCAGCTCCGCCCGCTCCGCCTCCCACTCTGCGCGCTCCGCCTCGAAGCGGCCCCACTCGTGCTGCAGAAAATGCAGGATGCCCGGTACGCTGTACTGAGCCCGGGACGCCGACACCGGTGCGGCGGCTCCGGAGGCTGAGACCCCTGCGCCGCCTCCTGCTCCTGCTGCCGCCGCGGCAGCCGCTGCTGCCGCCGCCTCGCCCGGCTCCAGCCCTGGCCCGCCCGCCGGTGGCGGCAAAAGCAGGGCATTGTTATTGTTGTTGTTGCTGAAGAAAACGCCGGGTCCCACTTGCTCGTCCATGGCCGGGCCGGGTCTGCCGCGCTCCCCGCCGCCGCCCGCACCCAGCCGCGTCCCGGCAGCAGCAACAACCTGGGCGCGTCCCGCCCGCCGTCACCGCCTGACAGCCGCCCCCGCCGGCTGCTACGGCGGCCCGGAGGAGACAATGCCAGAGAGCGATTCGCCCCGCCACCGCGCCCGGTGTTCTGGGAAATGTAGTCCCGCTGGGTGGCCGGGCAACCCGCGGGGGCAGGGCGGCAATATGTTCTTGATCGCCTTTTTCTCCTACATGCTGCCCTTATTTCGACGAATGGAGTTAATAGCGAGTGAGTCTCACCGCCATGAGGCGTAATCCTGCCGTAGAGACCCGCAAGCTCTGGCAGGGGGCAGCTGGCAACGCAGCCCCCGTCCCGGTCGGCGGGGAGGGGTGAGAATGCCGCGGCCAGAGGGGCAGGGCACGGGTCGATCGAAATCTGCACCCGAGAGCTGGGTTTAAATGGCTTGGGCACACTCGCAGCCTGCGCTGGGGACGTTCGGAGGCATGTGTCTAGCAGCAGTTATACGAGGTCTGGACAGCCCTGCCCTCTCAGCCCTGAGCAGCCCTCGCTCTGACAGTGCTGAAAACTAAATCCATCCCAAGGCTCCAGGTGTTTCTTGAAAATACTTATAAGGGCTGAAAACGACAGCAAGACAGCATTTTTCAGGAATTGCCACACTGCCTCTTCTGCAAGGAAAGGAAAACACAGTACTTTGAGAGCGATGGCGAGGCCCTCAGCTGGGAGCACGAGTTGCCAGCAGTACCATTACCCTCTCCGACTCTTCCGAAAGACACAAAACCACAGATTGGCCCACGTTCCGTGCTACACACGCATTAACACCCGAGGCTTGCTGAAGACAAACACACCACTACCGGCAGGCTTTACTGTAGGAACAAGTGCTAGCAGTGCACCAGAGATGTTGCACGGGTACCGAAGCTGCTGTGGGTGCTGAGAACAAGCCTCAGCGCTGCTCCCTGTGCCCTGTGAGCACCCGCTGCTTGCTGAAGCAGCGCTTCCTGTTTCCTTCTAGCTGTTCTGAAACAGTACTTGCCTGGTTCATAACCCTGCCCGCAGAGCCTGGAGCTGTGGCTGGTGTATGAACTCTTGGCACTTTAGGAAAAAGGGAGAGACAACGAAGGAAGCTTAAAGAGGGCATCACAGAACAGAGGGGCGGACAGGAGTGAAAGCACAGGAGGGGTGTGCTTTTGGGGGACCTGGAAGGGAACTGGGGCAGAACAACAAGGCTCACCCAGAAAGGAAGGAAATGGCAGGGAGAAAGGAAAGACGTGAAGGGGAAACAGAGCAAACAAGCTCCATGAAAAAGATGAAAAAGAGTGACAAAAAATGAACACTACGGGCATTTCAAGTTATTTAGGTTTTTTAATCAATTGATGCCAAAATATTATGTAAAACCACATAGTAATACCTTTAGTACCAGAAGCACACATAAAAGTAAATGAGTACTAAATTGGGGAAGGCTATATACAAATGAAAGCTGTGCATGTTGTATACAGTAACGCGGTATAGAAAGAAAAACCTCTCCCTTCTCCATTCCTGTACACCCATCTAGTGCCATTTTCCCTTTCACTAACTTTTTTCTGCTTTTCTACCAACTTCTTAGATATGCTTGATTGCTGCACTTCCCCCCTCCACTTCACTGAATTTTCAGACATCTTGTAAACTAGAGTGTAACCAAAACATAAAAGCACTGAGATAGTAATTCAGGTAAATACAGAGAAAGTTTCACAAACGAGTCATTAATGACTAGACTACCTCGGGGGTGGTGGGGGGAGAGGGAATCTAGAACAGGTCATAACAATGATTTTCTTAGTTTTACTTGCAAAATTTCTGTGTTCAATTTTGCAGTGAGTTTCCTGACTACTTTCTCTCAAATGTTACACATGTTCAGAACTTCTACAAAATACAGCTTTGTAATGCTGGAAACACTTACTAGAAAAACATATATTGTAATCAACCTAATTCCCACTACTCATACAAAGAGGGAAAAAGTTGTAAAGAGGAAATTACTTTCCTCCTCATTTACGGCATATCAGTTTTACTTTATCTTCTTTACAAGAACAAAAATTGGATTAGAGTATGTACTACTTGTGTCTTCACTTCAGTACTTAACTATTCACTGTGAAAGAAAAACTTTTCCAGTTTTATGTTAAATATTTTCCACACACCAAATACAATAGGGCAAAAGAGCATTTTCTTGTCCTGCATTTTGCATAGATACTCAAAGGTTTATATAAGGTCTTACAGGAAAAGAGACTAGATGAAAATGACTGCAAAAATATTGATCTACAGGTATTTCAGTCAACTATTAATCATATTTGATTCTCTTTACTAGCCTCTGTTATATTTTGGTTGTTGTAGAAGTTTTTTAACATGTGGAATTTACAAAGTATTAAGAAAAACATCAGAAATGAAACTCAACAGGCCTAGCCAAGGCTTCTAGTTACATGGCTTCTCTCTATAAAGCAAAATGTATAGAAGGATCCCTATTGAAGCCCATAAATTCAAGAGCAGTGTCAAAAAAATCAGGTAAGTCAGTCTTGTATACACAAGAAAAGACATGGTTCTGCACTTCTGCCAATAGGAAAGGTGAGGTCTGGCAGCAGACAGACACTGGGAGTCACTGGTTCTGCCCTGTAAGGTTAGCACAGCCCTTGAACTCTAAGCTCCAAAATCTGCAGATCAGACTCACCCAGGTATGAGGGGAAGCCACGTGCTTTCCAAGTAAGAAAAGCTTCATAAGAGAAGAAAAAAAAAGAACGCATGTGTGCTGTTCTCTTAGTCAGTACAGGTGCAAAGTGCTTAAGTAATTTGCCCCTGCAAACTTTATAGAGGACTACAGATGAGATACATCCACAGAGACTAAAATCTTGAAGGAACGTTAAATACCTAGGAGACTGGACAAAGGGTAGAGCACTACATCACCATATTCAATCCCTGTCTGGCAGAACAGGAAGAGTGCCAATACACAGTAGCCTCTGAGGTGCCCTACACCTACAAAAATGCAGTAGCAGGCAGTTCTCTTTATAAACTCAATTTCCAATGCATTCTTTAAAATTTGTCTTAGAAGAGATAGGGGATTAGATTCTTTGCATCCTTTATTAATTTCAAGCATGGAAATCAATCTGAAATAATGTACACCACAAATAAGGACAACTCATTAAGACAGCATGCTTGGTCGATCACCTTGAGAAAGCCTGAAAATTTTCAGCTGTTATTTTTCATGCAAGCTGAAATGATCTACGACTTCTGACAATCCCCTTCCCTACTTCATTTTTAGAAGGAAAAAGTGCATATTCAACACTTGAAATTTCCCATGGTGCATGGTATTTTGTAACAGTTTCCCCCGTTCCCTCTGTCCCCACTGTGTTAGTGTGCTGGCACAACAGTAGGATAACAATCACCAGATCTAAGGAAAAAAAACAAACCAAAAAACCCCCCAAAAAACAAAACCAAAACACTCAAAGGTTTGGAGTAGCTTTTAAAAATAAACATAACTAGTCAGATAATAGGGTTGGGTTTTTTTGTGGATAATTTATAACACAAATTCATAAATATGATCACATTCAATTTCCTAAAAATCTATACAAATACACCACTTCCCTTTTAATGCGTGGATTTCAAGTAATTACACAAAGCTCTATTAGACAGCCTTTCACATACAAATTACACAAAATTACAGACAGATACACAGTAACATCAGGGATAATTTAATGCTTCTGACTACTTAATGGTCCAAAACTAATAAAAGTAATTCAAAAAAAGCTAGTTTTCAGTTTAATTGTTGGGGTGGAATGTACTGTGGGTGGTGGTTGCCTAGCAGCTGCTTTTGCTTTGCTGGCCTGACTTGCTCGGACTGCAGTTTCTAGACGTGTTTTTAATTCAGGAGCAGCTCCCATTACTGTCTTGAAAGCATGTGGGTAAAGTGGACCAATGTGCATTAGATTCTGAAGTGCAAATTCATGAAGATCCTTAGATGCTGTAGATGCAGAAGCAAAGGCATTTTCATTCAGTAAATAGGAGATCAGAGTGGGAACCAGAAGGGCAAGTAACTGGACTCCTAAAAGGGAAAGAAAAAAAAACGTATCATTAAAGAAAACAAAAAATGAATTTTATCAGTTAGTAGACTGATGAGGGTAATTTTGTTTTCAGAACTGACAAGAAACACTGTAATTAAAAGATGATCAAATAGAAAAACAACCCTGAAATTTAGATGGTTTCCTGTCTTTTGGACACTCAAGTCTTTCTTACCAGTATTGTGCTTCAGAATTCTATTACTGTTCATCACAGTTGCTTTGTTTCTGACACTTCTTTAGAGATACCTTTGCACCTTCTGATTGCAGATCACTGATAAGAAATGTACAGTGCCAATCATATTAAAGGATTTCAAAACACTTTTCAGGCAGACAGAAACATTACTCAATTGAATCAGACTATCAGCCTCCCCAGTGAGCGTAAGAGAACTGTGTAAGTGTTCATGGAAAGGTGTCTGCTATATCACTCCATTCTGGAAGATTCCAATCAAAAAAATAGCACCACAGCTGCAGTCAGCTAGCATGACCTAATGAGGCTGACCAGTAAAATTCAATTTCTTGGGTTTTTTAGATAAACTTTGTTCAGCCGGTAGAAGCAACACAAATCGACAAGTCCAACAGTGAGAAAAGGTAAATTTAAATAGTGTGAACTAGTCATTTCCAAACAGAAGAAAACATCGCTCACTACTGCAGTTCATGTTTAGGATTTTTTCCTGCAATCACCAGAAATGCAAAGGCTACAGCATATGATACTGTTTGTGCTATACGAGTCCATGTATACAGAAGTTCTAGTACTGGAATTAGAAATGAACGTTGCATACACATGCTCTATTTGTGACTATGCCATCAAGTTCTTAACTGCAAGATTTCTAATGTTCAATACTGTGCTTTAGCATTACACATTTCTTTAGAAAACAGAAATACTTACTATTCTGCTCTTCACCAAGGGCTACCAGTGTTTCAAGGACTTTAATTCCTTCCTGGACTGCTAGCAGCTCCAGGTTGTTGTTCGGGCGGCTTCTTTCCACAGCTTTCAATTTCTCAACCATGATAGGGGCCAATGAATGAATATATGGAGTTGACAGGGCACGATTGGTGTGTTGAAACACAGAAAGCAGAAGCTGATAACACTTGGCTTGAACCTAAACAAATCAAGATAAATATATTGTCCTGAAAGTTATTTGTTAACTTGGAATTCTAATAAGCTCTTGTTACCTATCTATGCAAGATACATGTGATACCAAAAAAACCCCAACTACTACTAAAGGGGAAGGAAACATCCTGAATAAGAGGAAAGCAGCAACACAGGCATCTGCTAAAATAATATTAGCCCAGTTTTCAATAAAAGGCAGGCCAGTTAGAAAGAACATGCAGGTACTAAATAGCAGTTACAACATGAATTCAGAGACAATAAAGGAATAGTTAATGTCATACAAGTCAGTCACACAGGCCCACAGAGAACTACATCTTTAAGTCTCAGAACCACCAGCACTAATAGACATATCTGCAAAATCATGAAATACTATTCCAATCTCAGAAGGGTAAAACAGCCCATAAAATGACTCAGCTCAAAGTGATCTAATTAACTTGACTATTATTCTAACGCTGTGAGATCACAGTAAGTGATCTTACTACACTAACATCAATCTAAGGCTGTAGCCAGAAGTGGTAGGATTATCCACCCTTCTAGGTCTCCATCTTGTGCTGACAGTACCATAAAAGTATACATGTAGCCATACTGTAAGACAGATCACAGAACCCTCTCCTTGTCTTCCTTCTATTCTCTTTACTCCTCCTCTCTCTCTTACCTGGAAAGTGCAGTTTATAAAGTCAACATTTGGGAAAGTGGTGATCTTGTTTAGATCAACTTACAAATTTTATGTAGGTGTATAAGGATCTCCTTCCAAAATCCCACACAAATAACTCCTTTGGAAATGTAAAGCCCCACAACAAATATGAGGATAAAATATTCCACATGCTTTCAAACTGCACTGTGGGCCCATTAACTGGTGTTGTTAAGCACACGCTGGACAGAAACATTCTAGAGGAATTGTTCGTGAGCACAATGATCTGTGAGGGCGATCTGGGGGTGACTGGAAACATAGAACTATAAATAAAAATACTGAATAAAAACGATAGCTAATAAAAATTAATGGTAAGAAAACAGATGTTACGCAACTCAGGTTACTGTTAATTCACTACTGTATGGCACCAAGTTTTCTCTGCAATCCCATTTTTAAGGCCTGAAGTAGTAACATTTCTTCTAATACCATGTGTATACTAACAGAGTTCCACAGAACATTTTCTTTTAATACCTTGCTCAGCATCATCTTTCAACTATTTAAAAAAATTATTACTCTCTCTCTCCAATATCAATCCGTTCAATTCCCTTCCCTTTCTGTCTACATTCTTTAAACTCTACTCCTTATTAGATATTAAGATTATTAGCCTTTGAAATAAGGAATAAAAGTCTCCCTTCTTACATGCATGCAGAATTCAAATAAAGTTTTACAACTTCACCTGATGGCAAAAATTCATCCAAGCTTCTTTTATCCCATCTATATAATATAAAACTTTGGCATTCACAGAAGCCTACAAGAACTCCTGCGAGGTAAAATCAGGGCCTCTTCAAAGTGCATAAGGCACATTCCCATGTAAAACTTATGCATCAGCACTGAGAGACAAGTGTCTCTCAACCAAGTTCCCTCGTAGGAGAAACTGAAGTTAAGCTCAGCCGCCTTCTGGTTATTACTATACATGATACCTGACCTTTCAGACTTTTGCAGTTGGTAATGGTTTAAAAAAAACATTCCTGTATTCCTTAAGAGGCAGTGGTCTGTCTTTAGAAGAGTTTTTCCCCATAATCAGGTCGATGCTTTTAGTACAAACAGTGTCATGCTTTTATTACAAACAGGTGTCTAGTTACTGACTGCAACAAGTGGTTTATATTAAAAAAAACCTGGAACACACATACACACCCCAAGTATTACAGCATGTGTGTTTTGCACATCGGCAAAGAGAGGACAAAATCTGTCTGCTGCCAAAGCACTCTCTGTGAATTACAAAAAAGTGGGAAGTTTCAGCTCATTGACAGCTTTCCAACAGGGTGGTGGGCAAAAATGTACCTCTCTCACTGTTCATGCTTTTATACAGAGCTGCAAGTATGACATAAAAAGCTTCTGCTTAATACAACTGACATTTCCAGGTACACACTAGAATTTTAAGTAGCTTTCCACCCCAAGTCAGGCTATGGAACCAACCAAGTTTCACGTTCACACTGGGAAACAGCAGCCCTGCTGCAAAGAATAATTATCAGTCTAAACAGGATTTTACATGCCTCACAGTAACACTAAACACATCAGCATTTTTTGCGTGTTTTGCTTCTCAGGAATCTCTGCAGCACTCACTTGTGGAAACACTATGGATTTTTCTCTTTATCTCCCACCTGCAGATTTGTATACCCACCCAAACAAACCGACGCGTACATGGCTGGAACAGTTAAGCTTAGCTATACCGTGCATTAGCCTGCTTGAACATCATCAGTCTACAGCTACTTAGTTTCTGCCTTTAGTGAGAAAACAGTTTAGAAGATAATTCATAAAAACCCAAAAGGCAGAAGTGAAATCAGAAGACAGATGATTCACAATCTGTAGATGCTCTGATGACGACCACAAAATTACATTTTTGCATTCAAATTGATTTTTTTTTATGAACGTGTAAAATAAGCACAGGTTTGCACAAACAAATGTGAAATTTGTGGGCTGTAATGTTATCCACAGAAAAAGTGGTTTAGTTTGTATTATAGGAGATCAGCATTAATGTAGAAATGTCACCACGCTGGTAACTAACCTTTTCATTTGCTAAAATTTCATATATCAAAGATCTTTTTCCCTCTGAAAAGCTGCAAGTCAAGAACCTGGCACAAGGCCATGAACACACATTATCTAGAAGCACTTAGTTGGGTTGTTTTGCTCACTAAAGATCTTCTACGATGCACTGTTGAAAATTCTACTTATTTTGACAAGTAGTATCTGCCTCTGAAGTAAAGGCATCACAAAGCATTCAGGAAATACGTAAATTTATCACAATTAGTTTTTCTCAACTATATATCATTTACATTGCTATAACATGATCTTACCCAAGGGTCACAGGAATTTAATGCACTTTTAAATCTGTTCATACATCCATTTTGTAAACACTGCACTCCAATTATTTCAGTGCTTGCTGACCAAAGGAAGAGAGTGATAGCTGTAAGTATGCTGACTTCATCAAGAACAGGCTTAGAGGCTTCTGAAAAAGAAACACACTGTTAGCTTACTCCCAAAAGGGTTTAAAATTATTTAAAAGCCAGTGAACACAGAAACATGCAAAGAGGAAATAAATGTACATGAGAATATTTGCATACAAATATTCATCTACTTATTACAGAATCACTTTATTATAACACTGACTGACAAAAAGCTGAGCATCTCTTAATAGCTGTTTTAATAAATTCAAACTTTCTGTAACTTGAGTATCAAGGAAAAAACATCACCCACACTTTCTCTAAGCAAGTCATATTTTTTTGTTTCCAATATGTAAACAAGAGAGGCAAAATGTCTGTCTTAGATCCTTTCCCCATTATTTTTTATTATTTTCAGATGATACAGAAACAAATAACTAGCATGGCAACAGCTTTTAATTAATATGAGGGTTCACATAAGGGACTAGCTGAGCTGACAGTCATCTGTTACCAATAAGGAGTAAGGACAGTCCTATTTTAACCTTTCCCTGCTTTTCAAACAGTCTGTATTAGCTATTCTAAGCTTTTTCTCCTTGCACAAGCTCTGTCTTCACCAACCTCATTCACGAATTTACATCAAGAAGAAGAAAATTATATTTATATAATTATTATTTTATATACATAAAATACTATTTTTCTGGTTTTGTTGGCCAGATTGGTTACAGATATATAGTCAGCAAAAAGAAAACCAGCATGACTGCCCCTTCCACATGTCAGCTGGTCACTCAGTTGGCTTAGCCATGACGTAAAGCCTCACGTCAAAAAACTTCAAGCATTTTAAGTGACTTTCAAAATTATTTTTTAAATTTTAAATTTAAATTATATTGAATTACAAGACAAAACCATATGCAGCAGACCTTGCTTAGATTCTTGTGTCCCACTCCACAGAAATTTAGAAAGGAAGAGGAAAAGTCCCTCTTGCAAGGGACTGAGAAAGATTTCTGAATTCTGAAAAAACACCTAAAGCCAGTAATGTTTCTGGAAAGAGGGGGTAGGAAATCTGTACTGAAACAAAAGGCTGGAAGACAAGACCTGATGTGACAAATCACATTAGAAGTTTGATTTGGTTAACACAAATCTACTGATCCTTCCCCTTCAGACATTTTCAGGATCATTTGCAATTACCTACTCGCCCCCTCTCTCTCACATGAGTAACTCCATTCAAGTCTCTCTTCAGTCTCTATAAAGGGCTCCTTAGGGATGTAATGGGATGTTTTTTGGCTGAACTACCATTATGCAAATGACAAATTGTTGTGTCTCTCTTTTGCTAACTATGCAGCTGAGACTGTACATCTCTTTTGCCTTTTGAAGGGCAAGGCAAAGCATGAATGTGAACCAAGAGAAGTAGTTTGCAGTTCTCTGAAGAGACACAGTAGACATCCTGCTGGTGGGTAACAGATTTTTTTGGCAGGGGTAGGATTTTTTTTCTCACCACTGAAAGGCTGTAACAGTATTGTGAATATTCTGCTCCAGTATGAACCTTGCCACGATTATCCTTTGCTGTCTTCACATTCATTCACTTCAACACTCAGTCTCTCTCATTAAGACCATATGAATCTTGTCAACAAGCACTTAAAAGATACACTGATTGCCGTTTTTCCTGAGGCTTAATTCAAGGTGTCAAGTCCATGTACAGTACTGAACAATTACAGTTCAATAGAGATCAGTTCCCCTACAAACACTGTTTTGGCAACTACAATCTCCTTTCCTTTAAGCTAGCAGGTATTCTGTGGAAAGAGGAAACGAGGGGTGGAAATGATGGTTTGCTCAAGCCTTGCCAACTTTTCTAAACTTGCCAATCGTCACAGAAATAGAAGCACAGTCCCAGAAGTGAAGTGAATTCAGCTTGGAAAGCCTTTAGATTTTACTTGCAAGACATTCAGCAGATTTCAGAAAGACCAACCAGTATCAGAAGGAAGATTTCCAAGTTCCAGAAAAAAGTTACTACCTGAAACTATGAAGATTAGTAAGGTCAGGATGAAGAAAATCTAAAGCAAGAAATAACCACATAATAATGGGATTCAAAATGGAAAAGCCTGAACCGTTACATAAAAATACCCCAAGGAGAGGACCAGGCTGCAGGATGAGTTGCAGAAGGCAAGATTTCTAAGAGGATGTTATGATCAACATTGTCAAAGTAAACAGATCAACAAGGACAAAACATGGGTGTGAACTTGTGAGATGTAACTGTATTATCTGAATGCCAGTAGTGTGCTTGTCTTCAACAAGTTATGCTCTGTGCATTCAGGTCTTTCTCCCATTTCAATTTTATAAGCAATTCATCACCACTTTTTAATGCATCACCCAAACCTCAGACACAAAGCCTATTAAATTATAGGCAGATACAGTAGTTGCCTTTTCATCACAGCAAAATCCAGTTCTCTTTGATTTTAACTCTCCTGCACTGGGAAGCCACTTACCAGGTTGAGAGTATTCCAAGATAGATGCCAGAGTGCTGCGGATAAGACCTGTCCATTGTTTCTGAGTTTCATCAGTCTTGACTGTTGGAAGAGTAACAATAGTTTTTATCCCTTGAAGGGCTGCACTGACTGGAGGTGGGACCTGATTATCTGCCGATTTTACTGCTGTTTCTTTCAACACTCTTGTAATCAGAAATAGGATAGTGGGTAAGATGGTCATACATCCTGAAACAAAACAAAAGACAAAACAGAGTATCTGTAGTTAATTCCAATGAGTGTGACAGACAACCTCTTTAGCTTTCCCAATATGGATATATAGTTAGGAGACAAGGTCTGGAAACAGGTATCTAAACTAATTTATGGCACTTTCCAAGGTACCTGAAGCATGCTACAAGCCCCAGAAGCAAAGGAAGGAAGATGTTATAGAATCACAGACTGGTTTGGGTTGGAAAGGTTCTTAAAGATCATCCAGTTCCAACCTCTCTGCCATAGGCAAGAACACCTTCCATTACACCAGGTTGTTCAAAGCCCCATCCAACCTGGAACTGAACACTGCCAGGCATGGGGCATCCACAGTTTCTCTGGGCAACCTGTGCCAGTTCTTCACCACCCCCACAGCAAAGAACTTCTTCCAGTAAAGAATTTGTTCCTAATATTTTATCTACGTCTGTCCTCTTTCAGTTTAAAGCCATTACCCCTTGTCCTATCGCTAGACAGATATGAAAAGGGACCTCTCTGTATTTCTTGTAGGCTCCTTTTAGGTACCAGAAGGCTGCTTGCCATAAGGTCTCCCTGGAGCCTTTTCTTCTCTGAGTGTCTTACATCCTGTGCAAAAGCTGTAGCCATCTGGCTCTACAAAGGAGACAAAATTATCCTCCAACCTACTGCTTTTCTGAAGAAATCAACACCTATCCATACGTTTCGTGCAGGCAGTTTTGCAGATGCAAGTTAGGCATACTCAATACTGGTCAAGTAACACATAACCTCACTTTAGACATATGTGACCCTTATTAGAAGGAGTTTCAATAACAGATGGAGACTTTAAGCCCCTATATGACTGAAGACGGGTGTTACTGAGTTTAGGCATGTAATATCAATCTACTGGTCACTTCAGACAGTCAAGCTTTTTTCCATATCTTTTCAACACCTCATTTTCCCACACCTGTGGAAGCACAAGTCCCACCATTTTCCTACTTCTGGGAATGTTGTGACAATAAATACACTAAACAGTAACTATGACTGGAAGGACTGCCAGAGGTCATCTAGTCCAATGCTCTCTTGCAGCAGATCAGATTGCCCATGATCTTATCCAATGGAGACTGGAACATGCTCATATTGTAAACAAATAGGAAGAAATAATCACAATAAAAAAACCCTCTATCACAGAAAGTGATGAATTCTCTTTGTTCACAGTCTCCCTTACATCCAAAGGCTCAACTGACAAATGTTTATGCATGTATTATCCCCTCCTCACATCAGCTCCTCTGGATGAGAGGAAAGAAACCCAACCAACCAACAACTCAGCAGTCTCTCTAGACTGACAGTAGTTTCTGATCTGCTTTCACTGGCCACTTGCCAAATGCTGGGAGTCATGTCTCCAGTCAACACAAAAGTAGGACTGTTAAGTCTTTTTACCCTTCTCACTGCACACTCCACCCCCCTCCCCCAAAAAAGAGGAGCAGAGCAGGAAAGGAAAAGGAAACAGGAATCAAATAAAACCAGTGCACGATCCAAATCAGCTCAAAATCTATATTTTTGTTGTTGATTTTTTTTAAGAGGAACTGTAAGACACAAATTGTTTGCAGACAGCCCATGTTGTGTTCTGAGCATGACTTTGTCCAAATGTCACTTATCTTTTATCTCATTAAATCATAGAAAGAGATCAACCTGCATGTTATTAAGGGACCAACCTAGATGTTTTATCCATACCAGTGTGTGAAACTTCCCAGAGATCCACAAGACAAATCTTAAGTAATTTGTCTTCTGAAAAGCAAAACTCAAAGAGCACAGCTTCCCATGCAGTTGTGTCCTTTACCACTGAACTCCACTCAGTGCAATTACCCGAGCTCACACATATCCTTTGTGGCAGTCTCCAGGCAGAAGAAAAGTCCATTTAGTTTAGAGTCACATTTCAGATGACTGACAGCCAACGGCTGTAAAACGAAGTGTACCACAGCTGAATTGTGCTGTTTTTACCTCAGTAGGATTCTCTTTTCATCCAGGTGCTGCTTTTCATAAACTTCTCAGGAATTTAATTGTCTCCAAGATATCTATGTTCTTTTATAATACTAAAATTGTAATTTTATTCAACTACATTTAATAAAAATTAAAATTGGCCAAAAGGTTTCAAAACTGTGAGAGAGGAAGGGGAAAAAGAAATAATAAAATCATAGTGATATAGAGCAAACTTGCAGCACACATGCAAATTTAAAATCAAATACTTCCTTTATGCTGCTCCCTGGAAAAGCCTGAATTCTTAATTTACTTTTAGAACCTAAACATACTTTTCATTAAGATAATCCTTAAAGTATCCTGTAAAAAAAATAAATATATATTTACAGTTTGCTTTTAGCATCATGCACTCACTATGCTTCCTCAGATTAACCACTCACACGTAATTTGTTACAATACCTTACCTGCTGGAGAACACAGAGAAGGCAGGTCAGACAATATAGTAACAGTGGCGGCGACAAGACGAGCACTTTCCTCAGAGAGGTGGGACTTAGCAGCAATGTGGCTTGGAGAATCTGACACTTTTGAACTCAGATGGGGCATGTGCCGTACTAGGATAAACATCAGCAACTCCATGGCTGCAAAGACTAGAGATTTTCCAGGTACAAGACCACCACTCTCACCTCCCTCTCCTAAAGCAAGAGGATTTTCTTTTTCCTCAATATCATCTTCATCTGAAAAAAAGGAAAGAAATGTCTAAGCAGGCAGTTAAGAAAGATCCCATACCATGATAACATGAAATACTCTATTTTTGAAAAAAGTTAAAAATCAAGAAGTTGCTTCACAGTAATATATAACAAACATGACTGATGTCAAACTGAATGTTCAGTTAGACTGACTTAAAGGGGTTTTACATGCTTTAGAAATATTGTGATTGCAACAATACTTATTAAAAATCCAACCAGAACTAGAAAAGCAACTAGTAATATTTACACAAAATAAAATGCAGTAGTTATTTTGCTTCTTTTAAAACTGACTGTAAAATTGACAGCAATGACTGCCAAATAAATAGGCATGGCAGTATTTTTTAATTTAATAGCTATTAAATGTTCCACCCTGACAAAAATCTTATTTCAGCATAAATTCATTATTAAGTAAGAGAACAGAAAAGCACTGTAGGATTCTATGTCCAAGTTCATGATTTCAGTGCATTCAGTTCAAAAAGTCTCTTTTGAATGGCAGCTTGGCCAGCTGCAGTCTTTCCTTCTATTAAACAGCAACAGAGATTCAGTAAGTCAAAGCTGGCCTGAACTACCCCTATGGACCTCCTATGAATTTAAATGATTGCTGGTGTTATCACATCCACCAATTTGAAAAATGCAACTTACTGGGCCTACAGTAAACAGTTCCATTAATTCATATGAGGGAACAGAGCTTGTATTTTCAGCTGTGCTGGTTTCGCAAGTTCCAGCAAAATCCTCTCTCTGTTTTTACGTGAAAAACAGGCAAAAGCTAACAGTTGGGTTTTTTCCACAACAGTACATTGTGCCAGACGATGACAGTATTTTGCCTTAGTAAGAGAATATTCTTTGAATTTTACTTAATTTCTTTCAGGTAATAAAAACCCATGGCACACTTAACCAGATATCAGTGAACTACTTGTCAGGTTGCCACTTGGAAACTTATTTACCTGGCAGAGATGGAAACAATACAGCCAATGTGAGATTTTTAAAGAAATGGTAAAGGGATGACTGAACAGGGAGATGCTCCATTAAAAGGATGAAGTTACTAAAAAGTACCTCAGAAAGCAGCTTTCAGACTGATGCCAATATCCTTATATCAAGGATATTCTCACATAAAGTAGAAATAAGGTAACAGAATATGCTGACGGAAAGCCTAAGCCAAATATCAGAAGCTCAAATATCATACGAGAAGAAGCAGGGATAAAAAGAATGAATTTTACTAAAGCTCAATGAAAGCCAAGTAACAGAACAGGATTTAGGTATATTGACCCATCAGAGAATCTCAGAAAAATTTAAATTGAAAGGGACTTCCGTAAGTCTTCCAAGTCCAATCTCCTGTTCAAAATGGGGTCAACTTGAAAGCAAGTGCAGGTTACTCAGGACTGGTCCTGTCTTGAGGATCTCCAAGCAGGGATATGCCACAACATCCCTGGGCACCTCCTCTACTGCTTCACCACTCCCATGGTGACAAATTTTCTCCTTGTATCCCATCTCGATTTCCATTGCTGCAACTTGTATCTCTTACCTCTTGTCCTTCTGCTGTGTATCTTTCAGAAGAGCCTGGACTGTTCTTCTCTTTAAATCCCCTTTAAGAAGGGGGATTGCTATTCTATCGCATATTAACTCTCTCTTCTGCAGACTACACAAGTCCATCTCTCTCAGCCTTTCCTCACATATCACACACTTCACCTCCTTAAGCAGCACACTGGACCTCCACTGGACTTCCTTCAGTTTGTTAACATTTGTATTACTCCAGATGAGGGATAACAACAAAGAAAACTAGACATTGCTCCAGATGCATCCTCACAAACTGAAAGGATAATCATATCCCTTAATCTACCATTCATGCTTTTCTAATGCAGCCCAGTAACAGTCTGCAGCACTGCACAGGCACACCACAGATTCACATTCGTTATTTGGCAAATCTGTTACACAGTCTGTCAGCCCCCGCCAGCCTATATGAATGCACAGGGTTACCCCATCCCAAATGCAGGATTTTGTATTTGTCTTTGTTAAACTTCAGCAGGTTCTCAATTCTGCAGCTCAAGATTCCCCTGAAAGGGAACACTGCTCTCCAGTGTTTCCACCACTTGCACAATTTGGTATCATCCACAAATTTGCTGAAGATATATGTTCTGTCCTATCATCCAGGTTGTTAATGATGACGTTTAACAGTAGCGGACTCAACACAGAACTGTTCTAAGGAACACCAATTGCAACCTGCTCCCAGTTAGTCTTGAATCGCCAAACTCCATTCAAGCAGAGCTGTCCAGCCAGTTAACTCTCTAACTTTTCAGTCCACATTTCTCCAACCTGACAATGATACTAGGGGATAGTGGGTCAAAGGTCTTGCAAAAGTCAAGGTTAACAATATTCACTTCTCCTCCTTCATCCAAAGCCAGTTATTTAATCACAGAAGGTGATGAGGCATTATTTGTCCTTGGCAAGTCTGTGCTCACTACTTCCAATCACATTCTTCTACTTCACATACCCAGAAATGGTTTCCAAGAGAATTTCCTCAAAAAAAAAAATTAAAAAAAAAAAAAAATTCAATATATTCAGTAGGCTTACTGGCAGATGGTGCCCCAAACCCTGCCTCACTCCTTTCATTACTCAAAGCCAGACATAGCATCTAATTTTTGCCATTCATTGAAAAGCTTTCTTGAGCACCACAGCTTTTCAGATATGACTGAAGCAGCCTTTGCATGTCATCAGCCAGCTCCCTCAGATGCCTTCCATCTGGTCCCATGGTATGTCCAGCTTTTACCTAAGCAGCCCCTAGCCTGATGCTCACCTAACGGAGGTCACAACTACCTCTCCTAAACTTGCTCACTAGACACAAATACCAGAGCACTAAGCAATGAAGATGTGGCCTCAGTTTTTTCCTCCAGTGTGTTTTGTCATTAGATCACCCAATCCATTCAGCAGCAGGTCCAAATTTCCTTGATCTTTTTGCTGCCAATGGATCTATAGAAGCCCTTCTTGCTACACTTAACATTCATCACCAGTCTCAGCTTCAGCCAAATCATGGCTTTCCTAATTCCACTCCTCCATGCCTGAGCAGATGTCTTCAGTAGTCTCCCTGGGCAGTTTGCCCCCGCTTCCACCATCCATACAATTCCTTGTCACACATTTGAGTACAGTCAGAAGTTCCCATTCGGTAAAATCAGCTTCCTGCCATGCCTGTTTGGCATCCTGCACTTTTGGATCTCTTTCCTTTGCCCTTCTGGGAAGCTTGCCACTAGAACTTGTCTGCAATCTCCTTGCACAAGCCCAAGTCTGCTAAGTCAGGCCAAAGCTTTTGCTCTGCTACTCACTTTCTCCATTTTTGTCAGGATCAGGAACTCCACCATCTCATGATTGCTACAGCCACAGCTACCACTAACCTTCAAATAATTTCTTCTGTATTTGTGAGGAGCACATCAAGTGAGCACATCCATTATCTGGACTGCCCAACATCCGGAGTGAAAAAAACTATGTCTCATATGCTTTGGAAGGCTTCAGATTGTTAGCATCCTGCAGTGCTGTACTTCCAGCACGTGTCTGGAAGGCTTCTTCCAGTTGACTTAATATGGCTTTGCCCACCTCTTCTTGATTAAGCAGCCTGTGGCAAACAAGACTGAGTTTGCCACAGAACTGTACCACCTTTCACTTCCTATTAGTGGTATCAGTTCTGATCTGTCAAAGTAGGATGGCTGGCCCAGATACCTACTCTTGACAGCTTGTTCCTCTCTTCTCTTGCCAGTTCACTCTAATGTTCTCAAACTGGATGTCTGGAGATTAAGCCTTTTATTGCTGAAATCACAACCTTGCAACCTCCACCTCTGCAAGTCTCATCCTCCAGGGACACACTGCAGCATAACTTATGGCTGCCCCTCCTTCTATGACACACAGGCTCCTGCACCTGCAAGATCTCTGTGAAGAACACATCATTCTTCCATTGCCCTTCCTGACACTACCAAATCTGCTCATCTTCACATGCATTTCCTTCCCATCTCACATGTGAGACCAATGTCACCTCCAGCCCCAGTCACATCAGGACTTCTATCTGAATTTCTCAGCAGGTCATTAGACCTCTGATGTGCCAGAGGTGATTGTTCCAGTCAGCAGACTGTTTTGCTGTATGTCATTGCCATCATTATGCTGATTCTAGCTCTTGTAATGTCTTGAGCAGTGCTTCTGGGCTGCATGAACATGCCTTTCCATGCCAACTGCTGTGCTCCTGTTTGCACACCCTGTTCCCAGAGCTCCCGGTTGCTGACACACCCTGAATGTCAGTGAAGTAAGAACCTAGATGCAAGTCTGTTCTGCTTCCTGGCAAGATCTCCTAGGCAGGCAACTTTTTCACACTGGTTCCAGTAGCAGTTCACCTCATGAACCAGTTGTGCCAGGGATGCACAAGGCTCTACACTGGGAGCTGAACCATTAAACATCAGAAAAAAGGTAAATGAAATTATAGGGAGGCAGCCAATAGAGAAACATCAATGAAGTTGAGCAATGTATTAGTAAGACCTGAAGTGGTGTGCTGGGTATAATTTTTATCACTCATTCAAGAAAAAGGAACTAAAACTATTACATGAAAAGAATAACCACTAGAATGATCAGAAGAGGAAAAATATCTTGCAAGAGTTAAGAAATCAGCAGGTAAGATTACGAATACATCAGAAGTATCTGTTGAATACACAGCACTCTCCTCAGTGTAACCATATTCTAAATGTGTGCGAGTTCCTTTCCCAGTATGAAAACCTGTTGCTTATTTACTCTGCAAAGCAAGCAGTGTTTTCAAAATCTTACTTAGGGTGTTCCTTTTTTCCTGCAAATAATCTTGAGCTGCTCTTACTATCTGCTGGACAACTCCTGTAACCAGTAGCTGGACTGAAGGAGGATCCCAGGTCAGGAGGAGTCGGTGAAGTACACTCAAGAGTTCAACACCAAGGAGCTACAGTAGAACAAAACACACATAATAAAATTAATTAGGACTTAACAATTCCTAATTGTTATGTCACTTGCTTATGATGAGCAAATATTTTTTCTCACACAAAAATAATTACAGCTCTTGTAATCATCACAGATGAGAGACCAAGACCTAGAAAAGCCAACTGTTTCAACATGCTTATACAGTACCTGATCCTCTGCAATATGGATCCTGGCACAAGGGGAATCCAATAACGTATGAAGTGCTTGTAAACAAGATGTAACATGCTCAACAGGCTCTTCAGGTCTTGGGGAACACAGAAACTGTATACTAACACCTGAAAGGAGCAATAATTAAAAAGAATGTTCATATCATCATAAAATCAAGTTTGTTTTCTTTGTAAGTACAGCAGGTTCTTAACAACTTTAGAAAGATGCACGTTTTTTCTCTATTCTTCTTCCTTTAAAGAAAGGAAAGCTTATATATTAGAAACAGCAGGACTGTATTAGACTTCTCTTCTGCATCACGTCTTCCCTAAAACTTGGCAGGAAAATTAATAAACAGTGACAGCAAGCAACTTAAGACTACTGAATGGAAATCCATACTTCGTTCTAAAGATCTTTAAGTCAGATTTCTGTATCCTTCAATTGTAAACTGAGTTTTATTTTATTGAGCTCTTTTAAATGTAAATATAACTGAGATCAAGTTAAACCTCAAAAATTATGCAATATTCAAATTATACATACAGCACTTCATTCTGGTTTTACGTATCTGGGTATCTCAGCAAACTGTTGGCATTCCTTAAAATAAGTGATCACATCCGCCTCTTAAAGCTGTTAGATAACAGCAAAGGGAAATAGTGAGTGTTACTCACAGATGAAAAATTGATGCAAAAGCTATGCTATGCAACTTGTCAAATAACAGCCTACTGAACTCCGGTTTATGAGGGTGTGTATTTTAATTAACCTTACAGCTTTTGTTTCTTTGAAGCATAACATTTTTTACTATCTGAATTACAGTACAGTATAGAACATTTGCGACTCATTTGATTCAGTTACATAAATAAACTAGATATAAAACTTGTCTATAAAAAAAAGATCAGAATAATCACACAATAAGATGCAATTCTGTCAAAGCTATAAAGACAGCAGGCAGAGATATTTCAAAACATTAGTGTCTGGACACATGACACATTTTAAGCTTTCCAGATTTCAAACAAACTAGCTTTTCTTACTCCCATAGCATTTTGCACCATAATGTGCTGCTATTGAACTCCAAACTTGTAACACTTACCCAAAATTAAGTGCATTCGATCTTTGTTTATCTCTGGCAAAGATTTTGTGGTAGGTGGAGTTCCAGGTGTCTGGTTTAACATAATGGATGTAGCACGTTTCTGTGAATTCGGCATTGCTGCAGCAGTCTCTTCAGTTGACTCTGAAGCATTAAATCCTGTACTGTTTAGCCACAGCGCCACCGCATGTAATATGGGAGCCCAGGAGTTCCGGTAATGCAGTCTAGCTGTATCAATTGTTTCTGGAGTGTAAAATGCTCCCCCTGTTAAATTAGCAAAGCAAAGATAAATTCTGAAACTGTATGCAAATAATAGACAAAACCCACTTTCTCTAAGCTTATTTACCCTGGGTGTGTTTGATGCTGCACATATTCAGATGCAATCCTGGTTAGTGACAGTGCATTCCAATTCTCCTTGTGAAGGAGCAACATTAGCTGCTCATAAGAAAGTGCAATGGCCATTACAGAACAGTAGTCAGAGAGCAAGAAAGGCAGGCAAAGTCATAAGGTCTTGCAGTGTTTTTCACATATTTTACTCAGTTGAGTGTTCTATAAAACATAGATACACTCTGATTTCAAGGGCTATGTTCTTCTTATAGTAAACAACTTTTTGCATTTGGTACCAAAGAGGTGTAGAAGTATTCTTGATTCTAAAAAGACATGATTTTAATGATCTCTGTGATTCAGATAAAGCATATATTCATTTCAAATTGAAGGAAAAAAGCACACATTTCAAGCACACATTCTTATTGCACAGGGGCAGAAATTTATCACTTGCGTAAAAAACACTCATACCATATAATTTAGATAGTGATTTGCAGTCCCAAATAAGGATTTCTTTCTGGTTTTCACAACACAGAGTAATTCCAGTGCTTACCATCTGGTGGAAGCTGGGTAGCAAATTCAGCTGGTAAAGTTAAAAGAGCATAATCTTTAAGTGCAGCTAACCAGAGACGGCTAAGTGCAGGCAGCTCAGGTTGTACAAGTGTTATCAAACTGTCTGGTGGCAACTCATCTACAGTACCAAAGTCATCTTCATCTTCCTCTGTGCTCTTTAAAACACGTTTTGGCTTGGTCTCTGCTTCTTTCTTAATTTTCATGGCAACAACGTACACCTAGAAGAAAAACAGACATTAAAGCACATGCTGTGAGATCCTAAGGAGGAAAAAAGCAGCAGCCTTTCCCATGTGAAAGTAATAGGCTCCAGACAGAAGACTCACTAGAAAATGACTGGGGAAAAGATACCTGAAATACAATTACATTTTACTTAAATATTTTTTTCTTTTATTTCTAGCAGTATGTAACACTTAGGGGCATAAATGGCACTTTCCTAAAACTATCTGGCTACACGTTCTTTTTTCCCCTAAAAGAGTGTCAATTACTGCTGCTCTACACAAACATATTGATTTAAATAACTGATTTCATTAAATCAGTGCATCCTTATTGCAAAGATTTCTTTGACCTACATTAAGAGCTACTAAATAAATTAGAGTAATCGGCACTTTCTGGGAGCAGATTAAGTTTCATAAAGAAATGAAAATGGCTTCAAGTGTATTACATGATTACAAGAACATGTATATGTTCATCTTTGATAGATGCTATGAGGAGAGAAAAGGATTTTCAAAACCTTACATACATATGGTAATAAGCAGAAATATCAGAAAAATACAGTAAAAATAAGCATTTTTTGAGAATATAACAGAAGTGTCTTCACACAGCAGATGCTCCACATGAAAGCTGAAAATTCCAGTATGAAATGTTAATACTTTCCTTTGTAATTTCAAAAGTAACTTCCATAAAAATGTAATGGGAAAAAAAAAGCCACCCCAAGTCTTTAAGTACTATACTGAAAGAAATCAAAATACCATTTTCCGTAATTATATGTAGATCTGCAGCATGCAAGTAACGTTTTAGGAAGCCAGGCAATGTAAATAGTGCCAACTCTGTCTTTTGTAAATAGATTGCTAGTATTTCAGCCATTCGCCAGCAGTATCTACATTAAGCCTGTAATTTATTATGAACACTTTGACAAATAGAGTTTGTAATAATCCTAGTTAATTAACTGCAATTTTTTTACAGAATATATTTTAAGGTTGTTTGGTTTGGGGGTTTTTAAGTTTAAGAGCAGTAAGATGGGAGGAGAATCAAAATCTGATGCATGGGTGTGAGTGTATACTTTGATACAGAAAAGTGCAGTAAAACAACAACCAAACCATACTGCAAGTATGTATTGACAGAATGGCAGAAAAAGGAACAGAGAAAGATAAAAAGATGAAAACATCCCAGGAACAGAATCGCAACACAAGGAGGGCAGGTGCAAGGCTCAGTGGTACAACAGCCAGAGAGGTGTGAGGCTGCTATTATGCTGCAGAACTTTTTCAGTCTTTTAAAGACTTAATGGTCAACATTTACCTCAGCCCATGCTTTCAGAACAGCAAGTTTTTCCATAGTAGTTGCACTCTCTCGGTAAAGCTGGCTAGAAGATCCCTTTCCTGCTTGCACTTTATCCAGGGAAGAGACAAGAAGGTTGTGAACTCGGCGGAGATCATTCAGGTCACTTACAACCCCACTTCCTATCCAAGCGCTACATACCTGAACAACAAAGCTCAGAATTAACAGAAAACCCAAACAACATAATAAATAATAAAAGTAATCGTCCCCCCCAAAAACCCACAGAAACTGTAAGAAAACAAACCCCAAAACAACCATCACAGAAACCTGAGAAGCTCTCTTCCTGCTTAATATAAAAATATCCAAGGTTTTCTTCTTTCTGTCCCCATCAATGATAACAGAAACGCTCAGGTGAGTGGTTACAGAAACTGTATTTGTAAAGCATATTACAATGGAACTTCAATCGATAAAAGCACATCTTTAAAAACCCACACTCCTCAAATTGAATATTAAGGCGCCATACTAATGAAAGCTTTCAAGATCATTAATGTCAAGGGAAAACCTAGAAATGAGTGCAATGAAATTTTATAAACAACTGGATTCTGATCTGGAACCAGCAGCTCTAGATCTGGAACAAGCAATATGAAATCTGCTGCACAGACATTTTTCATTTGAATTAAATGGACACAATGTAACCACCATCCATTTGATCCTGTAAGTGGATCAAACCCACACATCCACTTTCAAACTAGTAGGAATAGGGAAGATTTTGACAAATTACAAGGAATGTTACATGTTTTCACACAGGCTGCCTCTTCATCTAGTTTTAATCACACAAATGTTTTGTAAGGCAAAATGTCCATATTTTTTCCTATGTATAGATACCAAATTATGCCTTACTTAATCTATCCTTACGAGTTTCAGGAGAAATTAAGAGCATAAAACAAAACCACAATCACAGTCCTGCTGAACCAAGATTTACTGAACAAAACTCACGAAGTTATCATTTCAACAGCTAATTAAACTGCTGCTTCAAACTACAGTATTATCTGCCACATACCAGATACTACTGCAATGATGTTGCCCACAGCCAATTTAAGCTACAGTAGCACAAGACTACACACAAGAAAAAACACACACACACAAAAACCTTTCACTGAATTTTCACTGAGGTTTTTACTATGACTGTAATGAGAATGGTCAGATCTTCTAAAATGTAAAATAGGGTACTGATCCAAATGGAAGTTTAGTGCTTAAAGGTAAATTATCAGTAATCCAAATATTTGATCAGACTGAAAGTCATCTCAATGAATACACTGCTACTGGCCTCAGTAAGCCAGAATTACTTTTTTCTTTTAGAAACAAATGTAGAATTGACATGCAGACATAATTTCAGAAAGACTAAGTATTTTCTGATACAGCTCCCTAAAAGGACTTCTGAGGAACAACATATATTACTAGGAGACTCAACAGATGTTGCAAACATATCACAGCTTAGGTTCACAAAATTTTCCAGTCATTTGCTACCATTTCTTTTTGGCATACTTCTTCCAAAAAGGGGAAAAACCACCTTGGCTTATGCTATCCAAACACTTTCCTCTGTACCTGGCAGGCCTTTGCAGTTATATCAGATGGTGTATCTTGGGAAAAAGCCGGCCTCAGAGCAGCTCCAACCTGTTGATAGAAGAAAAGTTTAGAAATCCAACTACAACAGTGATGCAACATCCTTTATCTCACCTTGTGTAAGACTCAGCACATATATAGAAACGCAAGATAACATTGCTAATTTTAGCATTTCAGTTACACCCTAAACCTACTGTTGCTGTCTCACAGACATTTGCAATGGCATTTAAGCAATAACAAAGCCGCAAACCAGTTTTTTCCTGATTGCCCACTGCCTTTTTAAGCCTCAGCTACCTTTGCCCAATCTGCGGTATTATCTTCCTTTTGTTAAAGAGTATCCTTTTAATCATTCAACTATTACAGGTGCAAGTTATGCTAAGGCTCAAGACACTGTTGACTTTTTGATGTCCAAAAGAATAATAGTGATGCAGATCCAACCATAAACATTTGATTTCACAAATTGCCAAAATGACAAATACTGACAGGAAAAGCCTTTTTGGCAGCTATTATAAGGCAGAATGTTTTTGGAAACAAAAGGAACCGTGTCAAAAATGCGGAAGCTACAGCACTGAAGAGGAAAAAGAAGAAAAAGGCAGGAAGTAAAAAGTATGAAAGCCTGCATTTAGAAAGTATTTGGAAAGATCCCAAAGACAAAGTGAAAACAAAAGAGATTAATCTATGCAACAAACTAAAGCAATAATACCCCAAAATAGATCTTCAACTGCACACCTCCCATTCCTATACTTTTGTAGCTTTCATTTAAACAAAAGTATATTCATTAATTCCCAGATTATGAAACAGATATATTAGTTTAAACCTACAGCTGAACCAGTGTTAATTTTTCAATTCCTAATTCTACAAATAAAATGCCACACTTGAAAAAAAATTAAATGCAACTTGTAATATTTGGCTTTCAAGAATCAGTAGCTACCAAATTTTTACTTTTGTCAGCTACTAAATTACAATACATAGGAAGGGATATGCCAAATAAATTTTGAAGATGTAAATAGAAGCATCTCTTCTGTACATTTTCACACACACAAAAATCTCTTCATAGGCCTTATGAAGTTACAAAAAGTTCACAAAGCTAATACTGGCGTATTGGCACAAACAGACAATTTCCTGAATGTATAAAGGAGGTCTCACATTAGCCTGATACTGCTCCAGTATCACATGGCCTGGAAACTCTGGCTCAGGAACTGATGCAAATTTCTTGATAATATCTTCAAGAGCTTGAAGACCCGCCATTCGTAACTGGTTGCTGTGATCAGTCGCAGCCATGAATGCCATTCGAATAAGGTCAGAGAGATGGAGTACCAGGAAGTCATCTAACGAACAAAACAGAAAGAACTATTTGATAACTTACAAGATATCTGACATGTTGGCTATTTGTAATATTTTCCTCATTGACATGTACAAATTTTATGTATTCTTTTTCAAAGGTCCACATTTAGGTTATGGGAAAAGGCAGGAAAGAATATAACCTATTTTTTTTCCTTCCCCTTTCCAATCACCCCTTAAAAATGATAGAAGAACTTTAATTCCTAAAATAATCTTAAACAGAAATTTGAAACGAAATATATATAGGAATTAGAGCATCTTAGTACAAGGAATAGAGTATCTTAGCAGAGAGCAGAATATTTAAGTAAAGCTTATTTTAGTGATCCCTCCATCCTACAGAAAATCTTCACGGCAACTCCTGCTCCAGTCCTATGCTTACAGCGACCCCTGCTGATTGTGGAAAACGCCGCCAAGTTTAAACACCTGAAAACTGAGCATGCCTATAGTTTTGCTCTTAAAAGCCGCATCTAAGGCTGTACGCAAGCAGCACACAACATACAGAAAAGAACAATACATAACTCAGTAACATTTCTGAAAGGGTTATTTTCCTCAATTTATTAATGTTATTTCTTTCCTTAGCCTCAATCTGAAAACACCTGTACAACTGCACAAGGTATTTTCAAATGCTACACAACTAATAAAAAAATATATATTTAAAAACATAATATCCAGGATGACTAACAAAACCCACAAATTATAAAAGCTCTACCTATTTTCAAGTATTTTTTCAGATTTATTTTTTCAAATTCAAGAAAAATTTATTTTGTGGCTGAAAGTTTTCAGAAGCATGTTGGAAAAGACTGACAACCACATTCTAGGACATTCACGATATTCATCCTATGTACACAAAGTCTTCGTGAGCATTACATGAGTGAAAGCAAACAACCACTAGGCACCAGAACAAACACACACAGACAACTCAAAGGCAGAAACTTCCCGTTATCTGCTAGAAAAAACACTTCTTCACAAAGCTGTGTAACCTCTGACCCCTCAATTCTGATCCTCTAACTCATAAATGCACCTTCAAAATGTGAGCTTGAAAAGTGAATATTCATCCTGCTTATTAGATATCCAAAGAATTGACTTTATAAAGCAGCTGTGTCCCTGTGTTATTTTAACTCCCTCCCACATCCCTCTCTGCAACCACAGCAATAATTACCTGGCCTTATCTCTGTTTTTTTTTTCCTGGCATCCCTTTGGTCTGGGGATGCTAAAATCATCTCTGAAGTCTAATTCATTGCTGTCATTACATTATATTCAGAAACTGTTCCCAGCTCACCCTTAGCTAGACATTTACTGCTTCCATTTCAGACTGGAGAAAAGGTTTGCAAATTCTAAGGGCTTTAAGTTTTTCCAAGCCAATCAGTCTGTGAGAATTTGTATTTTTCAGTAAACCTCATTACTTGTGTTCATAGTATGGTTAACTACTATGTGGTTATGCAACTACAGTTTTAATGACTTTTGCTAGCCATTTCCTTTGGTTTTAACCATTTGAATGAAAGGATAACTTTCAAATTTTTTTTCTTGGTTGTGTAAACTTAAACTGTAGAGAAATGTCTAAAATAAAATAAAATAAAATACAAAATTAAAACCAAACCCAAGACATGCACACTCTGTAATTACTTTTGGGGTTTTTAAGTCTGGCTGAGCGAGCCAGTGCCAGATCAAAGTGAGCCTTGTTGGCATTCTCACACAGCATGATAACTCGGCACAGACAATCTGCTGCAAACACACGAGTCGCCCAACGAGGTGCTACAGAAGGCTTGGATTTATCCTCTTCACCCAAGGTGGTAAACATTGTATCATCATCCATCTCATCCTTCTTCTCTGATTCTTCATCCTTCCCTCCGCCCAAAGGAGCTGCAGTGCTCATGTCTACAACAGACAACAATTAAAAAGAAAAATCCCACTCTTACAATTCATAGAAGACAGCTAAGGACATATTCAGAATTTCCTTACAGACTAATTCTTCTTTTGAAACAACATTTGTAAAAGTCTCAAAGGCACAGGAAAATCAGTAAATGTTTTTCACCTTTAATATTGGCTATCTTACCCTTTATTTGGCTTAAATGGTATAAAATAAATCCCTGTAATGTTAATTCTCCAGATACCAACTACAGCTGAATCCCATATCTAAATGTCTCAGCTTTGAAAGTGAACCTATTAAATTGCTAATAAACAGAATAATGACATTACCAGGCTCAGAATCAAAGCTTGGCTTTGAACTATTCAGCTCCTGTTTCAAGTGAAAGCTGGAGTGCATGTTAAACTGAATCAAAACTACAAAATTCCATGCCATGAGATGGATATCCAGCCAAGTAAGGCAGTTTATGGCACCCATAAATGTGTTTACCATTCAAAAAACTCTCTTTTTTAAGTGTAGTTGGGAGTCTTCATTTCAGAAAATGAAATTACCTCAGGGATCACTTTAAGAAAGACAAACCAAAATACAAAAAAAAACCCAACTCACCAAACATGCATTTCTACTATTCAGAAATGAGAACATAAAATCTCAATGACAAGGTCTAAATTAGCAAAACACCAAGATGCTGACAAAAATTACTCTGGCAATGATTAGAGGAGAACAAGTAGAAACCATTGCAAGGGTAACCAACCCCAACTATGGGGTCCAAATTTAAGCAGCTGAAGAGCAAAGATATTCAATAAAGAAAGAGGCTATGGCAAATCAAACATGGATGATGCCAATTCACAAGAGTGTTTTGGGAAGGCATCTAGGACCTCTTGTGTCTGATTTGTAAATCTTTGTTTAAAAAGCAAATCAGATTTTGTGCGTATACCAGTTAGCTGGATCAAAGGAGTTCACTATGAGGCTGCTTGTTCGAAGTACAGCTGACAAGTTTATTTAAATATGGTTCTCTCTGAAATTATTTCAGCTATTAATAAATAATAGATTGAATACCATGTTAAAAACTTTAAAACCCATCCCACATGAAATAAAAAAAGGATTGTCTAATTCAAACTTGAGAAACCAGGTCCTTCTCACTGGGTTGATATATGGAAACTACATTACATAAAGAAATCATTGGCAGCATTACTCATTAGTTAACGTAAAGTTGGCAACATTTAGAAAGAGCTTCACAATGAACTCACAGTATGCCAATAAACAAGTATAAATGCAAAGGAAATGAGCAGAATCTGCGTCACAACCATCCTACAAGCAGCAAAACAGGAATAAGGTCTCAGAGGACAAGATCTATGCAAAGAAATCTGCAAAGCTGAACAACAAGCAAAAGTTTCATCACCATGGTAACCCATCATCACACAAGTAACTCATAAAACCTCACCAAATAAAGCTCAGAGCTTATACAGCACTCTTCTTTCAGTATGATCCTGATATATAAAAGGCTAAAAAGAGTGTATCTGCTAAGATACTGAAATGTCAGAGTAATAATCACACCGCTTCTCCATTGGAAATCCTACTTCAAGGCAGTTAACTTTTTAATCTTCAGGTCAATGTTCTAAAACTTAATATAACATTGATGGTTTCTTCTAAGAAAGTTTTAATGAACTACAATCAAAGTTCTATACACAAGTTACATCTTAACTAAGATAAAAGAGAAGCTACACACAAATATTGCCAGAAAATGCTAATATTAAGGACATACTGTCCTTTATGTGAATAGAGAACGTAGAATACTTACCACTGGAAGCTGCAAGGACATCCTTACAAAGCATTAGCCAGTGAGAAAGGTTTTCTACTGCCAGCGATGAAAGCATATGTCCCAGAGTATCATGGATGTCTGAGCACAGCTTCCGATCAGTCTCCCGATCCAACATTCCAAAAAGGACACCTTCAAGGCCTGTCTCTGTTATATTAATCCCCTGATGCCGGGAATGAGTGTCTCGCCGAGAACCAGCTCCTGGTGCAAAAGGATTGATATCTGCAAAATGATAATGAGGAATCTTTTCTGAAATCAGTAACTCAGTTTTAAAATTCGGCATAACAGACTAAAATCAGGCATTGTGTATTTGTGTGTGTGTGTAGTTCAGACAGTGATACACCAAGATGTTACTGAATTTCTTCTATACAAACACTACTAAAATTTCAATACAGCAATTCACTTACTTTGCTTTCTGCAAGGCAAATAACACCTCCTAGTATTACTTCAGAAAACCCCCCCAAAAAATCAAAACCAAACCCAATACCAAGAAATAAATTAAAAATAAAAAATGAAGTTATAAGTGAAATTCAAAAATTGAGTGCAGCCAGAAGTTATTTGAACTGGAAGGGCCAGTTTTGGGTTTCTTCTGTTGTTGGGGGTTTTCCCCCCCACACATACATGTACACACCAGTGCACGCAACTGTTACAAAAAGGCCACATGAAAGAAATACTTACTGATGCTACTGTTTTCTTTTTCTCCAGCATTTTTCACTAAGCTCATGGCATATTCACAAACCTCTGCTGCTTCCCTCTGAGCAAGCTGCCGTAAACATGCAACTGCAGCCCGGCGAAGCAGCAAGTGGGAGCTGCACAAATGAACCTACAAATCAGAACCATTACAGGCGAGTGAACAGCTGCACCCCAATATCAATAAATCAGCACTGCTAAGGACTAACAGCATTCTATTTTTCAGTCATATGCCCATGCAAGAGCTGCTGGGTGCCAAGCTCTTTACAAGATATTGAAAGTTCAAAAGTAAGCATTTTTTATAATGTACAAATATTAATATAAAGCTGGCATATACAGAGCTGACAGCTGTTATCCGGTTAAAGAGATAAGAGTTTAAATATGGGAACTGCTGCACCAGTGATTTTGCCTAATTATACTTGCCAATCTGTTAACACTCCCCCTATTCTGCTATAGCTTTAAATAATATCCTTTTAAACAAAAAGCCATAATCAGGTGCACCACACATGATAACTACCAAAAACGTCTATTTCAAACTTGTATCAATTTATGCCATACATTTTTATAGATGCCTCTCAATGAGACAGCTTCATATTTCTTTACTAACCAATACTGGCTTCTAATTCCTTTTGAATCACCTCAAGTACAAGCAAATACTTTTCTTAGAGAAGAAGCGTACATGGTCCCTATTTTCCCAAGAGGAAGTAGCTGCACAGAGAACTCTTTGCTTTTCTACAGCAGAAGAGACTGCACTTTAAGAAACTTTGATTCTTTATTTACCCCAGGGAATTTGTTTTTAATAAACCAAATACACATTTGCTTCCTCGATATTAGTTATTATGCAGATGGAAATTGCTTTCCTAAATGAAAGGGTTGTATGGTTTATAAAAAAATTGAACAGTAGAACTTTATTCTACATATGAATATATAAGATTTTAGTCCTGAAAAAACAGGCAGACTTTAAAGAACCTCTAAATACCACACTGAGTTCGTTTTAACGGAACTAAACCACAGAACATTTGGGGGATTTAATTAATGGAAAGAGCATTCCCCATTTTAAGTTACAAAACAAACAACTGGTGGCTAGATAGCCAATGCAGGAAGAAGAAATGAAACTAGACTGTGGAACTGTGTGGTTTAATTTTGATACCTGGCATTAACTCAATTTAAAAATGAGTTAGAAAACAATGAAGTTTCCTAATGGGGCAGGTAAGGCAAACCTTGCCTACGTATCTGCAGTATAAATAAATGTGCAAGACAATTCAGAGGAAAACTTACCACACTAAGTATGGAAGTAAGGAATATGAGAAAAGAGAAGAAAAACAACAGCTTTTGTTTAGCAGAGGACCACAAAGGAACAGGAAAGAGACATCAGAAACCCCCTGGAAGATTTTTGTGATGTCCTGTATGAACATGATGAAAATGATGTCCTGTATGAACATCATTGTAATATTACCCATGGGTACTTACAGAGTAAATGGTTATAGGGATCGCTTGTCATGTTGTACATATTATTTGTACAAAAGGGCATGCTACTTTTGAGTATGCTGCACTCCATGCAAAATTTTGTGAAAGGACAAGTGACACATTTTAGGAACACACTTCACTCCCAGGAGTGCTCCAGAGAAGGGAGGTGCAGGAAGCAAGGGTCAGTGCTTGCTGATGAGCATGTACACTGAGAGGATGTCAGACTAAGAAAAAGGTCCAATGTTGACCTAAGTAGGATGACACTCCTTCAGGTAACACAGACCCACCAGTTCCACAAAGAACGAGACGAAGAACTGTCAAGAAAATGTCACAAAATGGCCAACAGACATTGGACTGCTGAACCCTCTAAAAATTTTTCAAATAGTAGTAATAACAACAACAAAAAAAATCCTACCAAAATGCACACCCACACACAGCACCTTTCCTCTTACAGTCATACTGGGTGGTTTGGGTTCCAGCCTCAAGCCAAGACTTGCTCACAAAACATTAATGGAAGGAGAAAGCAACACTAACAGCAGCAGCACAGGAATTTGAATCTCAGCATCTACTATACTGAGTGGTACAGTAACTCCAAAATCACCCACTCTTCTTCAGCTCACCCACTTCCCTTTGTGGAGTGCAGTGAGTTAGAGGAAACAGTGTTTCAGCATCTTCTCACTCAGTCATATAAATGCTTGCTATCTTGTGCTATTGAGGGTGAAAGAGAATCAGACCCTATGATTTCAATTTGGGCAGCATTCTAAAAAGATCTAAAATGGACTGCGGACAGGCATCCTTTATTGCTCTCTAGTGTTTTTGCAAATATGACTTGCTTATAACATATAGGCATATCTGACATCTTGTTAAGTACTTCAGTCCTCTGCTAAGCATGTACATAAAACTGAGGACCAAAACGGATGCATTCTGTACTCACGCAAAGACTGGGAACCAGACTGGACAGGTTGACGTGCCGTGGCGCAAACATATGAAGCTGCTGAAGGCAGGATATGGCAGCTGCCTGAACAAGCGAGTCTGAATGGTCTTGTGTGATTGCACATCCCACCAAACAGGAAGAACGGATTGTTGAAATTGTAGCTCCATTACCTAATGATGTAACACAATACTCTTAACACAGGATAATTTTTGTATGGCAACTGTAGGCTTTAAACCTCTGAGAAACAAGAACTGTTAATGCTTCAAAGTTCACAGATTAACATGCAACTTTTCTGGATTCCTACTGAAAACTATCTACACAACTTCAATGAAACACTATGGAGTACTCCAGTATCTTTTTTGTCCTGTCCAAATGAAACCTTGGATCAATTATCTTCAGTCAGAAATATTTTGAGAAAATCTTCCCAGGACATGAAACCTGAATTTGAATTCTGAAAGTCTCCTTCATTCTATACATAGGGATAACATTTCATGCACCAAACCATTTCCTACAATATCAGATAACTTTTAAGCTAACATGCACATAATTTTAATTAGCTCAATAGATGAGCTGCACTGCTATAACAGGACACGAACTCTAAAGAACAATATTTAATTCAAAAAATAATCCCATTCTGTATTTTGAGAATTAACCTGCATCAGGTTTATAAAAAAAATCTTGAATTACAGAAAAATGTAACCTGCAGAAGACGTTCTACATAAGCTGTTGTTTAGTTAAGAAGTGAATGATGCTCCAGATCAAAAGGTTAGAAAACAGATACACAAGTTCAATTAGACCATCTAGAAACTCTTCAGAGCTACAAATTTAAACCCAGTTATTGAAAGTTTCCTAGGCACTGGCTCTCTGCCACTGCATCAAAGACCACCCTATAAATACTCTACAAAAACTACAGTTGAAGAAAGGTACAGCAACCTAAGAATATCAAGAATTAATGGAAATGAGTTATAGATCAAATATTATCAATTATGTCAAACTTAAACTCTTGCTTGTGTTATAAAAAAAAAAAAGTGGAGGAAAAAAATCTTGCTTCTTGCCCCACCAATACACAAAAATATCAACAGCAAAGTATGCAGCAAGAGTGTTCTTCACCTTTTACCTTCCATGCAGATTTGCCATTAACCAGAACACCATACACCACTGCAACTTCTTTACACAAACCTCAAACTGCAGTTAAAAAAGCCCCAAGTAGTCGTAAGTATGATCAGAAGTGAGGTTGCTTGCATGACTGTAACAGACTTTGTGAACACCACTCCCTCCCCACCCGAAACTGCAACAAAAACTTTATTTTCTTTGAGACTGCAATATATGATCTTTATGCAAGTTAGATTTTTAGTTTCACTTCAAATTCCTACTAACCTTGCAGCTCAGGCCCAACGGTAGTTATTATAGCTCCAAGACATCGGCCTAGGCATTGATGCACTTCCGTATGTGATGGTGGAACAGTTAAGAGCAGAGTAAGAACTAGGGACAGAGTTGGCTCCACATACCCACGGTACATTGGTCCACTAGAATCTACTATCAAAGCAAGCGAATGGAGAGACCAGGTCTAGCAAACAAAAAAAAAAGGTTTTTTTTCAGTAATACATTTAGGAAATTTAAATCATTCTGTATGCAAACTGTTATGTCCTTGCTTAAACATCTCCAGTTAGCTACTCTGACTCCAGATGTGTTCCAGAGGTCTCAATCTCAAGCAATCATCTGGGAGTTTAACTGAGGAAAAGAAAAAGAAGCTACTCTAGTCTATGTTCTGTCAAGTAAACAATTTAAACCAAGGTGGAAGTATGATTCTGTACAGTTACCAGTGGCTTCAGCTTCTCAATCTGTGGGTATAAAGTGCCCCTACTCAAAGGTGGCACACAACTTCCTATTGCTAACACGTAACAGCCAGTCACAATTTCAGATAACCATTCCCTTGCAGAAACTTGCGAAATTACCTCTTATATCAGGCAATTACAACATAATCTTTGAAGAACAATAATTACAGACAAGACACATGTTCTTACTCAAAAAAAAAAAAAAAAACCCAACAAAAAAAACCCACCAAAACCAAAGGTGGTTGGGTTTTGGGTTTGTTTTTCTCCTTCTGAAGTAATTCTTTTATTCTAGTGCTATGATAGATTTCATGGGGGGGGGGTGGTGGTGGGGGAGTGCTTTTCCCTCTAATATTTAACTTCTTTAAAGACAAATGTACTGGTCCATCTAGCTCTCCCGTCCTCTTACAGCAGCATCTACAGATACTTAAGAGGGAGTAAAGGCATATCAAGACACTGACTCCTCAAATTTCTCCTGGGAGAGTAAAGACAATACATTCTCCCAAATTCCAAGTATTTTCAACTTTGGAAACTTCATGAACTGCACAGTGTTTATACTTAATTGACAGCTCCAAATGCATTGCTTTTTCAACGTTATATTTAGTCCCCTTTGTACTCTACCAGCAACCTTTAGCAGTCAATCTGTCCTCCTATGAGCCTTCACATGTCTACAGTCCATCGTGGACAGAAACTCCTCCCCACTTTTCCCTTACCTTGGACTTGGCTCTTACTAGTCCCCTTTCTGTGACCCCTAACTGCAGTAGGCTTGCAACAGATTTTGTTATCATAATATAACCCCCCAAAGATGATGTAGTGCCATACTCTATTCACAGTGTTACATATACAGAAACTGCTTGGCAAAGAAAACTACTGCTCATGACCCCAGACTCAGGTAACTCATGTTAACCATTAGCCAGTCATTAAAACTTTTTCTACAGCTAAGGTAAAACTAACACATTTTGCTTTGCAATTACGGTAAAGCTAGAAATATACCCACAGTGAATTACTCTGGTGCCACTGACAAGCAGACACTTGCGAGTCTGAACTGCAACTGCTTCCCTAATGAACAGAGAGGTTACATTTTGACTGCAGTACATATTTGGGATTCTATACTGTATAAGTTCATAAGTAAAGTTCCACTTTCTTCATGCTCCCTGGCACATGCTACATCTGTATGAGTTGTCTTGTATGTGACGCTCTATTAAAGAGCATCTGAACATGTTATTTTTTATTTAATCTTGAACATTTTATAGTTTTGTGGTGATTGTGGTTTTTACCTGGACTTCAGGAGAGGTTCCATCTTGTGCCAAAGCCAAAAGAATACTAACGCTGGTTTTCAAATGCTGTCCAGAACCTATTCCGCCAACATATCGATGGAGACAGCCCAGAGCCAAAGAATGGCCTGTTCTTGATACAACATCTCGAGCAGATTTTAACCTACCAATGATTAAATAAAAGGAAATCATGTAATTGACTCAGTTTGCTACAAAGAACCTTTCAAGTACCTTAACAGTGCAAATGACTAAAAGTTCTGCAGGCCACCTTGCAAGACCTTGAAAAGCCTTTACAACAAAAGCAAAACCAGTGTACTTAATCCGTATTAAACTGGATTACATATAAGACAAGCAGGAGTGATTTCAGATGAAGGAGAGTTTTGGAAGTGAAAGGCTACAGGAAAAGCATCTAGTGCTTACCAGTGTTTCATAGCAGACTAACTTAATAATCAGAAAAGTCATCACTAGACCACTGCAGTGAAAAGGAATCAAGAACTGAAAAACACCACCACATATTGAGAAATGACAAAGAAATCCACAGCTACAACTTCCACTGAAAAGTCAACTGAGTAACTTTTAATACAGCTATTTTCTTCTACAGCTGAGTTTTGTGACTTTCCCAATAAAGCTTTTTTCTTTTTCTTTTTTTTAGTAATATTTTATTAATGAAATTAAACCAGAATGAAGAGCATTCTAATGATCTAGTTGTATGAAGTAGTGACTTGTTGAGTCTTTTCCAGAATACTTCTGCTTCTGGAATCATATCATATACGTAACTTCTTAATTAAAACCTTTTCAGGGGTTCTGGAAGAGAACAAAAAGTGGCTATCCTAATTAGAACAAAGAAAGGTTTGAGGTTTTGTCCTGGTTGTCTGTATATGAGAGGAAAGTGTGCTTTTAACTGTCAGTGAACAACAAACTAAATGCAAATCTCAAATATAAAAAAAATATTTGACAGTGTGAACAGACCGGCAACAACTAGCAACCTGAATCCTAGATAAGAAACCAAGTAAATAGTCCTAATAATAGAAATTCAAGAAAAGATGGTAAAGGTGACGTACTTTATTACAAGATAAAATGATGGTAAAAGAGCTGAGCTGAGGCTATGCGCATACAGACTGGACAGCCAAAAACATGGGCTGCAGCCTTGAAGCAGGTGCATTCTGATTCACAGATAGGCTGATGTCTTAAACTTAAGCCAAAAATTGGGAAACATGGTCTTGTTATATCTACCACGCATCTTTCTAAAGACCTGGGATAAACATCCGGGGTGGGGAGGGCGGCCAGGGGGGAAGGTGGATTATATCTAACCATTAGCCAGCAGATAAATTACATCAATATGTAAAGGTGTTTTGATTAAACAGATCCACTATTGCACGATTTGTGTTACAAATGTACTCAGCATAAGCTGCATTTATCTATCTGAAGCAGTTTAGTCACTCTCAAGTAACTCATCAAAAACTATTCATTGGTAGAATTTCACATTCCAACTAGTTTAACAACTCTGCTTTTATTCCTGGAAGAATCACATTAAAGAAATCAAAAGAAGACCCTGGTTGAAGGTTTGTTAGATCTACATAATCATAGCAATCAAGCATGAAGAGAAGAGAATAATCAGTATGGTATTTAGTAGAGGAATCTTCCAAACTACATTAAATGATATTTTTATTTCCTTTTCTGAATCAAAACCAACTTACTTATCAAAACTGTACTGAGCCATTCTAGCTATGAAAGATGCTTCTCCAACCACTTGAGCCATTCTGCCAAGAGCTTCACCTGCTGCACATCTCAAAATAGGGTTAGGATTATCAAGGGCACCCATTACCAATGTCAGAGCAGATTTGCGGACTTCTTCTGGTCCTAAAGTGCTTTTATTCTCAGCTAAACCCTGAATGAAAAAAAAAAAAAAAAACATTAAAAAAACAAACATTCCAAAGCATGGGAGAAAGGGAAAATGTACAAACAAGCTTACGGTATTTGAGACCTTCCATTAAAAATGATGCACTTTCACTTTTTGTTTAGATTTGTGGTCATTTATCCTAAAATATACTTGTTGAAAATTTTTAAAACTCAGGATCAACAGCACAGTCTTACATTTACCAACACTCTGCCTATTTCACATACCAGAAGACCTGTTGCACCAGTCGTTTTTACCAAATGCATTACAGCGCTATGTGCACTCTGCTGCTACTGAATCTGAGCTAGGTTTATACAGGATACTCCAGAAAAAGAGAAGCTGTAAAATCTAACTGCAACATCTCTCTCTGTGAGACGAGGAAACTCCAGCACAGTTATGTTTCTGCAAGAGTCATTTAAATCACGGACATTTTATGTACATTATTTTTTGCTTAATGATCACATTGTTGCAAACTTTTATACAGCCTGTTATATGAATATTTTACAGAACAATAAACCATATAAATCAACCAAATAAAATTAACAAATAAATAAACCAAATAAAATTAACAAACAAATAAACCAAATAAAATTAACCACTGCTTCTGCAGCTTCTTCGGTTCCCATATTTCATTAATAGTACATCACCTCTCACTACAACTTTCACCAAGTCTTTTACATTGGGAAAAATAATTAAACACATGTAACGTACACACACTATGCATTATAGAGGAAAAAACTGATTCTCATTTTCTCTTCTGAAATATTCATTTCAGCTGAATTTTGACAGTTCTTTGGCCATTTAGCATGGTATTGGAAATTCCAGATTATCTGTCTCAAAATCTGCTTTTCAACTTGTAGCAACATGGTTCACATTTCTAAGAACAAAGCAAGAGAGATGCTGTTTAGCCAGTGTATTTTGCCATCAACTAAAGATGTGCAGCCGAAGTAACAATCAGCTTAAACTAGGCAGCTGATTTTGTATGGCAAAAGTGAGACATGAAGAAACTCATCCAATCTTGAGCTACAGGCTGGCACATCTACGGGGTAGCTTTCTCAGTGCGCAGGACTTGGTTGCTCTGCAGATGAACAAGTATGACAATGACAGGTGTTGTCCAACAGACTCGCGAATTGGAAACTATATAAAACAGCATCAAGAAAAAAGGAAACTCTTTTAAAAAACTGCCTAATAGAATGGAAGTCTTACACTCTAAGACAGTGTTCCACAAAGCCTTGAGGCAATGCAATTCACTGAAAGCAAGTATTTCTGAGGGATATCATTTGTGACTTTCTGTCGTCTAGCTTCCTAACGTGATGGCATGAGGCTGGATTTCCATGTGTAGATAGAGAACACAGACCTCAAAGTGAAGTCAGTGGGACTAGGCATAAGCTTCTATAATTCTATGCAATATCAGGGAGTCTTAAGAAAAAATTAAGACATCCAAAATGAAAACCCAAATCCCTTTTTGTTATTTTGTTGGGTTTTTTTTATATAAGCCTCATCTGCACAATACTCTATAACGTGAGGGCAGTTTTCAGCACGTATGACAATGTTTTTAAATCCACCAGTACAGTGCAAATAAAACCACAGGACTGAAAAATTAAGAAATTGTAAATACTATAGAATGCTGACTACATCTTTGCTCTGTACTGATAAATGCAGACAACAGCTTATGCCAATATCTGAAAAAAATTCAGTTCTGGCATTTTGAAACTTGAATGTTTAAGTGGTAACTTTAGTAATGTTCTTCTAACAACCTTTTGTATGGACTACAAATCGATGAATCAAATTGTTGAGCTTTGGCATCCATTACAAATTCACAAGTTTTACCTTCAAGGCACTAAGAACAGCAGTAAAGATATTAAGCTGCACAGCTTGCTGGCGAACACCTTTAGCCTGCTTGACACATTCAGCAAAGTGATCCAACATCTGTAATCTAAAACAAAGGAAAGAACATAATATTAAGTGATGCTCTTTCAAAATACAAACTAAAACACAGCTGGTAAAAAACCCCACACATAAAAAGGCGTTTTAAGTTCAGTCACAGAAGCTACACTTCAGGGACTGCAGAAGGTAGAAAGGTACACTTTAGGTAGAAAGGTACACTTTAGGTAGAAAGGTTGCTGTTATTCTGAACGGTCCCTTTGCTGCGTCTTTTAGCTCATCCACAGATGTTTACTATTTCTATTGAAGAAAACACCAAGAGGAAGGGAGTTTTCAGATACTTTTGGCTGTATAACTAGAAAGCTATGAGGACAAGAGTGGAAAAAAAGTTGCCTTTCCACTGCCATGCAAAACAGTGTTGCCCTCTGCATTCTTGTTATTGCTCCTATCAGTTTCCCTGTTTAACCTCAATTCTTCCCCATTTTACCATGCCAGAAGGTGTTACTGGGAGGAGGAGTACTCCCTAGAGGATACCAAGAACAGAAGTATAATGAATAATCTGCATTTTTAGCTACTCAAGAGCTTCCCAGCCAAATCTTTCCAAAGCTAAGAACTGATATAGATCAAGTTGAAATACTGCAAGCTGGCCTCAAGCTTACTGCAAAATGAGACTGAGTGGTAGGAAAATAACTGTTCCCATCAGGATTGCACTGAAGGATAATTTTAATTTGAAATGCATCTTAGAGCTGCTTTCACTCCATGCTCAGCGATGAATTAGCTAAACAGGATGACAAAAGTAGTCCTGACAACTCATAACTCTGCAAAGGTAATGCAAAACACAAAGGAAAAATCAGCTGAATTCCATTCGCTCTTTTTCATCACGGGTAAAATTTTTTGCTAAGTATAAATCAAATGGTCTTGCTCGTGGAAGCCAAATTAAATTCAATGGATAGTGCTGCTATGTTCTCAAGGCTGATCTGAAATTAATTACAGTGGGTATTTTTTCAGGAAATTCTGGTTGCAAAGACATTACTACAGTTACATGGAGGAGAGGAGAATCTGGTCTCCACCTCTGAACCCTAATCTTCAGAACGAATAAAACTGAGGAAATTGCCTTATTTCTAAACTGGGTAGACATACACTGGAATCCTAAGACACAATGAACACCAAATACTGAAACTTGAATTTAAAGACAGTTGATATTAAAGTAGATTCTTATTTTAAGAAAGAAAAAAAAAGATATAATATTATTCAGAGAACAATGCGTTAGATTCTGAAATTGAACACTGATGTAAACTGACCTATGTTTGTAAGAGACATGAGGAAAAACCACACCAAAGAGAGCCACAGATGCATCGATGACAGATACTCCTAATGGAAGGGGACCAGGTACAGCTTCACCAGCAGGAATACGCAAATAAATAGAAGATGGATCATGTTCCAAAGCACCACTTCCAGATGCACTATTTGGCTGAAGCTGCAAAATGCCACAGAATACCTCAGAATATACCTTTGCACATAAAATTTGTGAGATACTAGAGATAACAAAAACACACATGCAGTAGCTTACAAAACCAAAATGGCTTACAGACACCTGAATGCAACTGCAGGGTCCCCATGCATATGAACGCTAGCATTTACGGGGTCAGCTAAATCCCAGAGGGTCAAAGCAGTTAACAGCTGGATAAATGCACAGACTACTACTCCTAGTAGTCAGAGATGGAAATCAGACTACAGCAGATCAATCTTGGTACTAACAGTAGCTACCAAATCGGCAACTACAGTGTGACATTTAGTTACAAAGGCTAGTCATTCACTCTGAGCATTGAGTTCCCATACAGTATATTGGGTTAAAACTTAAACAGGGGAAGTTTAGATTGGATATAAGGAGGAAATTCCTTCATGTTAGGGTGGTGAGGCACTGGAATAGGTTGCCCAGGGAGGTTGTGAATGCTCCATGGCAGTGTTCAAGGCCAGGTTGGATGAGGCCTTGGGTGATGTGGTTTAGAGCGAGGTGTCCCTGCCCATGGCAGGGGGGTTGGAACTTGATGATCTTAAGGTCCTTTCCAACCCTAGGTATACTATGATTCTATATTAAATTATCAGTTTTGCTTGTAGCAATTCCCTGTACAGAAACATTTAGAAACAGAATTAAAATGACTAGCATACCTATCATGAAAATACTTCTTAACCATCGTTCTTTCAAGAAACACTACAGAAAAAAAAGCTTATCTTCATGATTTGTTAAATATTTAATCCTGAAACAAAATTGGAATCTAGTAGCTCTGCATTCTTCTTAAAGGTCAGAAAACAGAGCAAACATTTATAGAGACTTTCATACTGCTAAAAAATAAAACAAGAGAATCTGTGATGCACTACAGGGCTTCAGTTACCAACAGTGACTCTGTCTTACAGGTTAGAGGTAAAATAGAAGGGGGGGAAAGGGAAAAGAGGAGTAGGAATGCCCCAGAAAGCTGTGGATTGAGGACTGCACTGGTAGACTGGAAGTCTACTATGTCCACCATGACAAATTAGGGAATTCTATAATTTTTTTCTTTGACAAATTTCTGCTGATCTTTTCTCAGAAAGAGTTTCCCCTTGGTTTCTCACACCCAGTATCAGTCTCGGCTTTTGGATCTGTTCAATCCAGACAGCTGCCTGCTTGGAAACCTTGCCATTACTAGATAAGTCTGTGGCAGAAGAGGTGCTTTCAGCTCCCCCCTTCTTCCCTTTTTCTTGCTGTAACACCATTTGGAATACTGATATTTTGACAGCAGTTTCATTATAAAATTTGTTAAGTGGAACTTTTTTTTTTTACCCCAGAATAAAATAATGGAACTGCCAGACTGGGAAGATCAGGGTGGGGAGCGCTGCTTTGTTTTAAAGAAGTTAGGTTGGTTCGCTAACCACAACCATATGAGTAGCATTGTGCAATTTATATCTCAGCTATAGGCAGCTTTTAATCAAAACAGTTCACTATAGATGGAAGGACTCGCATCTAGCAAACCTCTGAAATAAGACTAAAAACAAGGCACGAAGTTTCAGTTGTAGAAGGCTTCCCTCACATACACATCACACAGACAAATACTGTAGATAACTCTATTATTACAGGGCTTACATTACCTGATCTTCAATTGACTTATGATCCGTTTCCTGCAGCCAAGAGCCAAGAAGAACGCTATCATCATAATGACAAAGAGACCTTAGGAGCGATGTGGTTGTATTAGCAGAGTTGTCTGTCAAAGTAAATTCTGCTACCAACTCTCGAAGAAGCGCATTAAATGATCCTAAACAAATGGACATTAAAAAGAATTGGTGCTGCTTCTTATCCAAAACATTTCAGCTATTGATTAAAAGTTCCAAATCAAAACATGTACCATTACTTTGATTTTACAAGTAGCAAGTAGAGAAGTAAACCCGACACGACCACAATTGAGGGCAAGGCTTCAAACAGAACCCTGGGCTCCCAAGTCCAAATTCAATGTTCTAAACAACAGATGAGGCCATTCCCTCCAGGATGACAATTCAGATTTTTGTGGGAATTTGCTCATCAACATGATGATGTAAATTTAATGAATGAAAAACAAACCAAAAAGCTAATCTGTCAGATCATGTGGCAAATCATGCCTGACAACTTACTAATAACAGCACAAATCTGGATAACAGAGCAGATATGGTTAAAAAAAAAATAAAATACCAGAAACTCAATCTGAATCTTCATTCTCACATCTGTCCTTGAAGTATGCTAATATATAGGGTTCTCTAGCTTTTAAGTAACAATATAAACAGCTAAACTGGAGTTCAGAACATGACCGCTGCATATCTCAACCCTACCAAAGGGACTGTAACTTTTATACTCTAAGCGTTACTTCAATATTTTGCAATATTCATACTCTGCATTTATACTGTCAAGACAATGTACAGAAGATGAAGAATACAGTACAAGACCCATGGAGACTCCTAATATCTATTTTGAATCATTTCTGCTTCAAAAGCAAGCACCAAAAAATAAAACAAAAAGAGTAATCTAATAAAAATTGCTAAAAATGTACATACCTTCATATGTCTTTGGAGGTAATAAAGCCAATATATCATAAAGTCTTAAACGGACCATAGCTGCACTAGCTTTGAGATGAGCTCCATGGGCTTTAATTACTGATGGAATACTACAGAATCAAAACAGGAAAAGAGGCAAAAAGAAATATTGCAGTTACTGAAGAGAGCATTTTCAGCTTTTCACAAGATAGATCTCCAGCTAAGACAAGAAAAGAGTGTTCAGAAAACTACTCTGAGTAACATTACTCAATTGTATTTCCAGAGGTAATCATATGGAGCAAGTTTTTCTAACATAAAATGCATGCTGCTGTATATTAGACACATGTACCTCCTCAGAAGCAGCTCCTAGCACTAGGTCAGAATATGAGTTAAAACAAATCAGTTTCAGTACTTCAGAGCCAGGAAAAGACAAAAGTGAAAAGAGAGCAAAAATTGTTACTTACTGTGACATCATTGTCATGGCACATTCTATGGGCGTCATCAATTTTCTGATCACATCCTCAGTAAGGAGCTCAGGACAGTGAGCAACAAAACTTCTCATAGCTAATAACAAAATAAGTTAAATTGAAATTTTACTGAAACAAATATAAAGCATGAGCAAGATAACAGATCCTAAGAGAATATTCAAAAAGCAGCAACTAAATATGGTTATTCAAAGACTATGCGACATGTTCATACAAACTGTGTGCCAAAACCAGGTCACACTGATGAAAATCTGACACATCTTCCTGCTTTCTTTGAAAATGAGTGAAGTTACAAGAGTTCTCTCTGTAATACTTAGGGTCTTGTTTTGGTTTACTGCACACTTGTGATCTTGCCGTTTGAAATCCTTACCGCAGAGAGCTCCAGCTCGGCCTTCCAGGGTTACTTGCCAGGTAAAAGAATCTCCTCTCGCCTTCTCTGCCTCCAACTCCTTGAGAGAACGTGGAAATACATTTCTCCAGAGCAGCAACATCTTAGGCAGATGATACCGAACAACAGAAGGACCTGCGCAAAAAGAATGAAGTAACAGTATAACAAAAAAAGCCTCTGTCTAACTAGTGAAAAATCTGTCATGAAGGCTTTTGCTCTTTATTTTTCCTCTTATTTCACTTTTCTTCGTTCTCTCCTGCTTGAGCAATGAAAAACCCAAAATATTCTTTCTCATTTCTATGTTGAAAATGTGGCAAATAAATACTATAGGTAAGCCTGCTTGTTGGTATCAGTACTGGAAATAGGAAATAGGCAGTTCCATACCTGGGGTCATGTAATACATAACCACTGCCAACTGTTTTTTTTTTACAATCTTTTCATTCTGACTTCTGTGATTACTTACTGCTAGTTTGAAGGCAAGCTCTGTAGCCTGTCCAAACTTGCTCATAAAATGAACAGAAAAATAACTGACAGCTACCAATTCTGTAACTAGTTTAACCACCAAGTTTAAAGAAAACTTCTGAAAAAGCTCTAGAAGATTCAGTGCAAGTGAATTAAAAATATATTGGAGAAGAACAACTAAAATAAGGATACACTATTAGAAAAACATGGCAGTAAGCTGGGAAGAAAAAAAGTAATAAAAGAGGCAATTTAGAGAAACAAAACGAAACAAATTGTATTTGCTGAGAGATCAAAATACTGCAGAATGCAACAGAATTTTATTATATTTTCCTGTATTAAAAAAAAAACAAAACAAAAAGAACCCCACAACCCACTGCTATTGCTGCAAAATCCAAGAGTATACATAGAACCTCCAAAATACATCTTCTGATATTTCTGTGATGGCAGATACGAACATAAGGTTGGCTTTTTTAAAAGACAGCTGAACAGCTTTTAAACTGATAGCACTTATAATCAGTACTGTTGCCTCTCCAGACACACACATGCAACTTGTTGAAATGCTCATTGTGTTTCATTTACATTCCACTTCTGCGCTGATTAAGGAAGGAAGATGAGGGGTTGCCCTTTCCATAGAATGACTAAAGACTGGGTTTCTAAAAACAGAGCAGAACTCTTTTTTTAAGTACCACACCTTCTACTATCCTTCAGCTTACATAAACACTAATATTTCACCTTTTCCCAGCAAAAAAAAACCAATGCCAAAATAAATCACTAATACTCTGTTTCCCTTGATATGTGCTAGATACTGGACTGATTACATGTAAAAACCATTTGCCACAATGGATGTAAGAAATGTTGGACAAGCATTAAAACAAAACAAAAAACATCCATTTTTACAAACCTAAAGTCATAAGTGCTCCAAGTAAAAGCCATCCAGCTTGAGTCCGCTGCAAGGACAGCCTGCTGTTTTGTGCAGCAGTTCGTAACAGATCCTCAGCAATACTGACCACCATCTGCAGCAATGATGAAAACCAATGTATTTTAAATACATAAATTAAGCCACTGAAAGCTACTGCAACACATCCACCCTCACAGACTATATATAAAGATATTCTCAAATCATTTAAATTGACCTTCCATAAAGAATGAATGCAGATTACACTTCATGTAGATGATCAGTGTTTTGCATATGACAATGCAGACAGGAATATTCTCTTCAGCAATTATTCATTAATACGCTAAACAAGAAAGCAAATTTGAAAGGGGTGGGGAGAGAAAGCTGGTAAATATTATAACTGAAATACTACAAACACATGCTCTGGCCATTGCTCTCTTTCTAGGCACAAGCCCAGTTTTGATAATGCTTTATGTTGTTACCATCACACATTTTGCAAAACTACTATTTCTAGACAAAAAGTATCTTTTAGTACACTCACAGATGAAACACTCATCTCACCTTTCCTTTGGCATGAGGAATACCTAAGGGACACTGATGCACACCACCCAACAAAGCAGCCATTGCAAAACTGTAGCCACTAACAGCTTCAGGGGAGGTCTTCAGATTGTTGAGCCTTTCTGCACATCTATCTAAAAATGGAGTCAACTGAAAAGGCAATGCCACAGCTACACACCGCAAACACCATGCGGCAGCAAGCCGAGCAGCCATGCTGGGATGAAGAAGAACGGAAGTTACTGTCTCCAACAGACCTACAGAAAGAGAGTTTACAGTTTTAGAGGTATGACGACCTTTTTAATATACAGACAACTAAATTGATACTAGACAGGTAACATGAAAGTTAAGAAAATCAGAATTAAAGTACTTGAATTTTACAACTTCACCTTCTTCTTCAAGAGGGAAACATTATTAGCATTATGCTGCCCCAAATCAGGTTTTTACCAGCAAGGCTGGAGCTGCCAAAGCCACAGCACTGACTTCTACTACTTGAACAACTGAAAAGAGGCAGTAATCCTACATAATGGAATAGGCACTGGATGAGATGATTGCTACAATTTTGACTTATTTTACACAGATTGCCAGTAACAGAACAACATTAAGACTGATCTTTGGGTTTGCTTCATATCATAGAAAAGCACATGCTACAGAAGTCACTGACTGCTGTACTCTAGTTTTGACACAGTGCTGTCTCCCACTGTTATCCTGCATCCTTCTACACATTCCTAACCTCTATGCCTACTTAATCCTGCTTTCTAACTGAGCTCTTCAGTCCAGTCCGTCTCCACACCAACACCTTCCTTAGTCCAGATCTCTAACTTTGCAAACTCCTACTTCAAAGCCCCCACTGACACCTTATCTTTTGCTTTTTCTGTAGCTAGTGCATAACTTCTCCTAGCTGCTATGAATAAGCAGGTAGAAATAACTCTGAGATAGTCCCCTCTGTTCTTACAGGGCACAGCAGCCAGAAGGAATTACTACGAGCACAGTCTTCCCCACACCACAGCTGGAGCAAAAACAGATGAGAAGGATGTCATATGCATCAAGACAACAATCTACATAATTAAATATCTAAAGCAGCTTGCACTTCAATTGGAAAACCCCCCCAACATCTGCAAACTGAAAAAAAAACCTCCAACACTATAGTGTAAAAGTGAATTCGGACGTCAAAATAAACAAGAGGAAAATACCATACAAACCCTTATGAACTTAAAATGAGACTATCCACAGCTTCATCCCAACAAAATACTCTTAACGTCCCCACAGAAATTTGGTATCTGAGGGCAATACAGCTTTCCAGGAGCAAATATTTCAGGCCCTCTATAGCAAAACCTTTTATTTCCTATAAAGCTATTATCAGAAACAAATCAATGCTAAAAATCAACTTTAATCACCCTAAAAAAGAGCTGCAAGCAAACTTGGATCAAAACAGTTCCTTAATACTTTAATCAAACTTGACCTAAAGTTAGGGTACTAAACACTAGAAATGAGCTGGACAAATGTAGCTACCTGCAATACTACAACGAATGCCAGTTTTATGAACTTATTTATTATATATTGATTTATTATTTAACTACATTGAATGATATTTCATATTCATTGCTCAAATGTTTCATCTATTTAAATTTATTTGCATACCAATAGAGGGTTCTTGAATAAGAGGAGATGCAGTGGCATTCAGACTCTGAACCAGACTACCCAGTTCCTGGAGGGCACACACCATTACATGCTGGCTTGCAGCTACATCAGCTGCTCCTGATTTATTTTCACTGTTAGTGTCATTCACTACTGCTTCTGCAAAAAAGAAAGAAAAAATGTTTTGCTTAACTTCCTCTTGAATCACACCTCACCATACACAGGATAGTTCAGTTTTGACATCAACCTTATATTAAAACAAAGGCACAAGCTTGAGCATAGCATGAACTTGCAAAGTAACTGTGTTCTGAAGAGAAACAGTTTTACAGCTATGAGCCAAATACAATCATCACAAGGCCACGAAAGACTTATGCCCATCATTTATTATGGAATGCAAAGCACTAAGAGGTAGGATTAATAGTATAACATACCAAAAGCAAGTATACGTGTGTGCAGCATGTGTATTGTATCTACAGAGAATAACCAAAATGATAATCTTGACATACCTAGGTTCTGCATATAAAATTGCATGCACATGTGTATGGAATAACACTGAAAAAGGAAAAAAAAACCCCACACCACAAAACAAAAAACAAACAAACAAACAAAAAAAAAAAACACCAAACACCAAAACTTGTAAATAATTAATCACAGCCACTAATCCCTCTTAAAGTTACCCAATTAAGTTCCTAGATCTCACTGCAGGTTCTTTCTCCTACAAAATATCCCAGAAGCAGCAGCTGTGACTTCAAAGAAAAGGGACTTCAATATCAATTTCATGTTTACATGTCTACTACAGTACAAATTTAGAAATTCATCCCCCTTATATGAAGGGAAGTAATAAAAAAAAAAGAAAAAAGAAGAGTTCTTCAATCACCAAATACATAACACAATTGCCTGCAACTTTAACAAGGTAGCAACTGTTTCACCTCAGAACAAAATTACTCCTCAAAGTATGAGAAAGCTGGAAAATGGCTGAGCCAGAATAACAACAGTAACTTTTAACTGGTCTCAAAGAAAGAAAAATGGCTCCTACCCACTGCCTTCATTTGTTTACCAATGGCTTGACATATATCTTTGGCAGCTGCAATCTGTGCTTTCTCCCCAAGTAAGCTGCCCACAGTTGCTCTCAGGATAAAGGACACGCATCTTCGAGAGTAAACGGCCTCCACATGGGTCTGAGTTGCACGAGGATGGGAGACCAGATCAAGTACATGGGACAAAAATGTAGCAAAGTTGCGCTCCAACCACTGACCTCCCAACGTTGTGACAAAGACAACATAGGCCTGCAAATTCAGAAATTACAAACAGATCCAATTAAAACAGAAATGAAAGACTATATTCAGTCACCAAAGACTAACACTACAGTTATACTCATGCATAATGCAGTACACTAGCAATACCAGTCAGTAATAAGCAACCCTAATGAGGCTAAACAGGATGAATCAATCTATTAAACAGGTCTTTGTTGTAGAAACTAAACTATTTTCTAGCGTCAAGAGTAGCCCCTATACCGCTATACATTCTGTGAAGCACTAAATACTCTGGATGTCAGCCAGAAAACCCAGTCCATTGCTCTAAATATGTGCCTCTTTAGAATTTTTAAGAACATATGTTAATAACAGCAGCAACATTAATGTGTTCTAATTCACAATGAAGACCAGACATTTCCATCAAGTTCACCTGAAAAGGGCTTAGAAAAGTAACAAGGGTTTCACAAAATACCCCACGATCAAAAAATCTGGATTCTGGCAAATTACTGCAGCATATTGAAATGTATGTCAGAGTGAGAATGCCTGAACTTGAAGAGATGCAGCTGCCACCTTTCTCTATCAGACAAGTGGAGCTTCCACATTCAGGAGATTTCAGCTACTCAAGACAGACATATGGAGTGAAGAAATGCAGTTTAACAAATTAGGGCTGTAAACTACCCAGCAGCTGAAAAGAGCACACACAAAAGGACAACAGTGTGTCCTCCCTAAAGAGAAATAAAATTGAAAAGTGGAACTAAAGTCTTCAACATACTAAGGTTTCCAGTATTTTTGCAAGTTAATCCCACCTCATATACACTGATTAAATAAGCTTTCCTTGGCACATATTTCAAGCTATTGTTAATGCACATCAATAATAAAGTAGCTTAGATGAATGACACTACATATACATCTAATAAAACAGGTGAGTCAAACCAGACTTGTAAGTAAACATATAAACAAGTAAGGAACAAAAGTGTGCATTTTCCCTACTAAAATGGTGACAGTTATGTATAAATGTTACTTTACTTAAAAAAAAAAAAAGTTAAAAATACTACAGCTCATGACAAACCTGGGTGACACCAACTCGCACTTCCCTATTGACTGATCCTCCTACTTTTAACATCTCTCCGCCACTCTTTAGGAAACCAGATCCTCCCCGCAGAAATCCTGTGGCCATAAGCTCCAAAACCTCCTCAAGCGTGGCTCTCTTCACATTCTGCCGCATCACTTTTGTAAAAAGAAAAGCTATCATTTAATGTCAAAGTTCCAAACATTACAAGTAATGATCTTGAAACCAGACTTATCAATTCAAAACTGTCTTGCGAACACAAATCCTGCCAATATTTCAGATAACAGCTTGTTTTCGTATTTAAGAAATAAGCTCATTTTCCCAGGTGATTTTTGTTAGTTTGCTCTTTCCTTCTATGACAACAGAGATTCTGCACTCATTTCCTCTTTTTAACTTAGAGTTTATAAAACCAAACAATCCACCTACAAGCTTTCATCTTCTGGAACAACAATGTATGATACAACACTGTCATGTAACATGGTACTAAAGGTGCATTTTGTCCACTTGGAAACAAAATTCAGAAGGATTTGTACCTGTTGCTTGTTTTGGTATCAGTGCTGTAGCCATGACCATCCCCAAAAGCTTTGACACTGCAACTCGCACACCATAGTTTGAGTTTTCCAGAGCTTTGAAGCACAGCGTTGCAACATTCTCTAGTTCAGCTGTCCACATAAACACTGCTTCATTCTGTAATTCCAGCAGACACTGTAGGAAAAAAAGACTTGCTGAGCACCAGTGGAGACCATTCTTACCTTTTATCTAAGTGTCAGTGTAATTATCAGGTTCATTCAGCAAGTATTTTAATATGAATATTTTAAAAGTTAATTTCCACACACACACTCTCCCACTCACCAAGTGAGTAAACAGTCAGAAACCTCATGGAATAGGTAAATAATTAAATAAAAATTAAAAGAGGAAAGCACAACAAAAGAACTGTTACCAAAAACTTTTCACATTGAGGCTCACAGCTAAGATATTTTATCTCATGTTTGTTTAAGAAGCAGGGAAAACAGTATTACAGTACCTCTGTTTGCATGAAGTAATTCAAATTATTAGTGAAAACAAATAAGGACTTACCTTGCCCAAGTAATTATCAAATTTCCTATCACAAACAACAGTTGCTATTAGACTGCAGGTACTTTACAATTACAGAACAAGAATATAGAGGACTGGTGATAAACAAACCTACCTTAGCCACTGCACATCGTACAGCCATAGATCTGTCCGTCAACAGAGATCTGGCATTCTTATAAATATCACGGTGACAAGAAGCTGCTGCTCCTCCAAGTCCATTCAGGACTTTCTGTAAGCTCATCAGAATTTCACTGCGGCCCTGAGACTGCACATACACACAAAAACATTTATGTAAAAACATGGACACAGTATTCATATTGAACCAGGTGCATAATTCTGCATTTTTCCTGCTTCCAGGCAGGAATATTTTTTGAAACATTTATAATACATTTCACTGCAGCCATATACAACTGACACCTCGCTGGTTTTAGACAGCAGTAAGCACTATACACAGCTTTACTCAAACTGCCTCAGTTGTCACATAGATTAAGATGATCCAACATATTACCCTAGACAAGATACTTCTGTCCTACCCACCTCCCGCCCCCCCACCCCAGGCTGAAACCTCGGGAAAACAAGGCAAAAACAGCTGGGAGAACAGAAATCCCAAGTAGTCAACAGCTTTCTACTATACCTGCACACAGGCAAGTAGTTACAGTGGGAGAGTAAAAAAAAAAAAAAACAACCCCAAAACACACCAACCAAAACACTAACCAAAAGCACACCCAACAGCACAGGACACATCCTCCCAGTATCATGACACGCTCTCTCTTTTTGGGGGCAATGTATCCTGCTCACATGCAGAGCAACATCTTGGTGCAAGACTCAAGTATTTATTATTAATTTTTAAACAACTGAAGGTTTACTCAGGGTACATGAGCAGAAATCCTAATGCAGTAGTTAGTAATGGTACATACAACCATTTTACAATTTTAATTAATGATGTCACTATGAAGCAACTACTATAATCGTATGACAAAACTCTAAAAACTCTTCTGCAGTAAAAATACATGCCCGTGTTTCACTTGATACTAACCATGTAAGTGATTTGCATTTTTCTAGGTAGATAATCAGGCATTCTGGTAAACCCTTCTGGGGGAAGCAGGTTTCAGTCTAAATGGAATCAAGACCACATATATAAATAACCTGCAACTTACCTCTGCACTTTTCAGAGATTTCAAAAGATTATTCACTGTTTCTGGGAAAGAACTACCCAGCATTCTGCCCATTTTTTCATAGAATGCTCCAACGCATGCCACAGCAGCCCTATGAAAGAAAGGCATTAATTGGTGTACTCTTTTTCTGTATCATGTAAGTGAAGATAAAATGCTCAAAAATGGTTTTAACCATCACTGATGAATACAAAACTAATTATCCCCCACTACTTATACTGTAATGAAAAACTTAATTAGCTTCTAAGAACACAAATGTATTTGAATGGCTATTACTATAAAATCTACACGTAGATTGTGAAGACAAGTATATGCTGAAATGTCAGCAAGAGTAGGGTTTTGTGTTTCAATAAACTGTCTCTTTTCCAGGCACCTGCAAGATAAGCCCTATCCCTTAATATATGCTCACGTTTCTGTAGATACTGAATGGTTTTTTTCCATGCCTAAACTTAAAATATATAAATTACTGCATAACGCAAGAACATTTATAGGCACTGTAAAAGTCACTGGGTCCATAAAAAGAGTTTTATAGACATTTTTCTTGCCTTGCCATTTGCGATTAGGATTTTTTTAAGTAACACTACCATGATTACATAACAAATTACTTCAGGCCAGTCAAGAAGCAGCTCCTGAAAACATGCAGCTTTTCATCATGAAGGAACAAGCCTTGTTTTTAAACCTGAAATTCTTGGGTAGATTGCCCTTTAGTAAATCTATTTACTACTGACTCATTATAGCCCACCCCTACTAATGAGACAGCTCCTCTGAGTAAAGAGGAACTGGATCACACACACATGCACACACACATCCAAGTATACAGACTCTGAGAGACGTATGCAGTATTATCACGGTAGTGGCAAGGTCTGATGGGGGGAAAAATAAAAAAAGCATTGAACATTTGCTTACAATTCTCTGAGCACAGATAACACTCTTGTTTGACAATCTGCAGGTTTCATCTTAAATAGGGTACCTGCTTGCCATCAGCAATAATTCCCACTAGCAGGATCTCTTCATTGCATCACTTCATCAACTGTTATCCTCTCCATGACATAAACATATGAAGGGACATAAGACAGTCCCTCTCCTAAAGGAAAACATCTCACTTTCACCTAGCCATGTACGTGTCACCTTTGAGTCCTGCCCTCCACAATCCAAATCCTGCTCTTCTCCTCTCTTATACCAAGCACGTTAGCTACAAATGAGCATGCAAAAGGTAAATGTAACGTGCACATATACGATCATATTCTTCTTTAATATCCAGGACTACTTCAAAATAATTCTCTTTTCCCCAGTTATCTTAAACATACAGTTTTGTGGGCAGGTAGGCTGCAGTATCGTCTTTGCTCTTGATGATGTCATTACACTTGTCAAGTGTCTGAAAAACAGTGAATGTGTCTCCAATGCTGTAAAGAGCAGCAAGATTTTTTGCTAGTAGTTTTCGTGTAGGTGGCCCAGGGGAACTGCTGATGAGTCCTGTTAGTTGTTCTACAAGTTTCTTCTGTTTTTCCTTGACATCCGTCTGTTAATGGACCAAAAATAAGAAAAGTAACTTAATCCTTTGTCTTGCCTCCAACACCCAGCAAAACCTACAAGAGATTGAAGTAAACCTTATACCACTCCCCCTTGTATGTAGGTCAGCAAACTGCTTGTCTCACAGAGATTTAAGATACATTCAATAATAGCAAAGACAGATGCTAAATGCTCAGAATTAGCACTGTTACTCCATTTGGTTTTGCTTTTTTTTAAATACTTACTAAAAATACAGCAATGCCTGCCTAGAACACCTTTTAATACTGTTTACCATCAAGAATCCCTACTCTGGAAGGGAAGGTTTTGCCTTCCAAATACTTACGACAATGAAGAACTCAAACCAAGCTATGTATTATATAACAGTCAGACTGACTGCCTACACCTACAAACTAGTACAGAGGCTCTTCAGGCTGAATCTGAAATCTGGCCATCACCCATCAAGTTTCTCTAGCATGAAATTAATACAAATGTTTTAGAAAGAAGGGGGGGGGGGGCACCACAAAATTACCTTGTTAGCAGCTACCAGCACTTTATCCAAAAATCTTAACCATTCAAAGATAAAGACAGGTCTCTTTGCTTCTGTGATTTGAGCTAATGCTTCCTCATTCAGCAACAAACTGTGAGCCAGCTCCATAACTGGTTAAATTCCAGTTTTATTGTAAACTTGTGTAGCAATTCTAAAATAAAAAATGACAATATTAGCATAAAGTATAACAGTACAAAGCTTTGAAAATGAAAAAAATACAACGATGAAATCCAGATTATCATGGTTCACACTGTTTAGACTTGTCTTAGCTAAGCAGTCCCACTGAAATACTACTCACATATTTACAACTGAGTATATCCATTAGTATTTCAGGAAGCAGAGTTGTTAACTGTATAAAGAGCACTTACAGGCATCTTCAGAGTGCTCACTCTTACCCAAGAAAAGAACATACTGAAGTCCCTGTTTAAAGAAGGAGAAAGAAAAAAAAAAAGAAGCCAAACAAATCCACACACAAAAGAGGTAAAGGAGTCATCTCTCTGTCTCCTCTTACATAAAACAGAATAAAGATTGTCCTTAATCAAGATCTGCACTCGCAAAGCTTGCACATGAACCTGGACACCTTCTCAACACCTTCAACAAAGTGAGAAGGTGATGAACCCACCACAAACTTGAGAGAGGCAAGAACAGCGCCCTAAAAGAGACAAGAACTGATCTAAGGCTTCCCAGATCCCACTGGCATTATTTTAAATGCTGGACAAATAAGCCCTCTGAAACTCAGAGGGAATTAGAAGCAGCAGCCAAACAACTGCAAGTCTCCCCAACAGGCAAATGACTAACACCAGAAATCCTCCTCAGACAGTGAATGGAGGGAGGGCAGCAACAAAGCACTACATGAAGCATGCTATCAGTGCAAGCAAACACTCTGCAGACAAGCATAGCAAACCACATTTCAACAAACTGTAGACGTTTAAGGCTGAAAAGAGTGAAAAAAGAAAACATATGTAAAAAAATTAAAAAAAGCACAAAATTCAATCAATCTTCTTCAGCAAAAATGAAACCCAAAAAGCAAAAATCCCCACCCAACCCCCAAACCCGCAACTACTATTGCTGAAACTAGTGTCTCTGGCAAATCAAAACCAGCATAGCAACTAAGGAGTATTATGTAAGGCATGTCTTTCAACAGCTGCATCATTCCACTTGTGCTCTCAAGTGCTCACAGCTGCTTCCTCATTCAGTGATCAAACCCAACAAATTCTTAAAGTCAATTGAAGTGATTTTAAATTAAATATTTTTTTAAGCAATCCCCACATCAGACAGTACTAAAGGGCAGCATATTAATATTACAACTGCATTACATTTCTAAATTCACCTTATGATTTGGTGCTGATGAAACTAAAGCAGCCTGATGTCTGCAGTACTAAGTCTCTGCTCTTTGGTACTTTGCATTATACTATATTTGCAATATAGTATTTTTCACTGCATATATCTCCAGTGACAGATGAGGAAATGTGGAAGAGCCACTCAAAGAACTACATACAGCCCTCCCCAGCACCTCCAAAGTTATGAAGAACTAAGGAGGTGTTGTCTGTCAACAATGCACAGAGGCATCACCTCAAAACACTTTTACATGAGACTAGGGAGAAACACAGTGAACAACAGCACTATGATTCTTTACATACTAAGCCAGCGGCCCACACTGCTCATCACACCTGCACAACACAGGGATACCATATGACAGGTGCTACTCCTTTCCTCCCCAGATAAGTGTTTGTTTTTTTTCCTGGCTTTTAGAGCCATGAACATATTCTGCTTCCACACACTCCCCTACCTCTTCACCTAAACTTAGGAAACATAAGCCCTCAACAAACAAATTCACACATACATTCAGCTGTGCCACTGAAGCACAAGGGATTGAACACAAGAACCCACTTCTACTCTGTTATGGTGAGACCCCACCTGCAGTACCGCGTTCAGCTCTGGGCCCCCCAACACAGAGGGACATGGGGCTGCTCAAGCAAGTCCAGAGGAGGCCATGAAGATGACCAGAGGGGTGGAGCACCTCTCCTACGAAGACAGCCTGGAGAAAAGGAAGCTGCATGGAGGCCTTATAGCAGCTCCCACTACCTGAAGGGAGGCTACAAGAAATCTGGAGAGAGACTTTTTACAAGAGCAGGCAGTGACAGGGCAAGGTGGAATGGCTTTAACATAAAAGAGGGAGATCTAAGTTACACAAAAGAGAAGAAATTCTTCACTGTGAGAATGCTGAGGCACTGGAACAAGTTGCCCAGAGGAGCTGTGGCTGCCCCATCCCTGGCAGTGTTCAAGGTCAGCTTGCATGGGGCTTTGAGCAACCTGGTCTAGTGCAAGGTGTTCCTGCCAGTGGCAGGGGTTAGGGTTAGGGTTAACTGGATGTTAGGGTTAGGATGTAACTGGATGATATTTAAGGTCACATTTGAATGCAAACCATTCTAGGATTGAACACATACACACATACTGACCTAACTGAAGACTTGGAGCCCGATATACAGCTGTTGGTCAGCAATCCAAAGCTCACCTACACTAGCAGAAGGTTTGCTCCAAAACTCAGCCAAAAATGTCCACCACGTTCTACTGACTCTGGTGAGGGCTGCGCCTTGCTGTGCATGCTACAAGTAATAAATACACTGTTACCTCCCACAGGATCTCCCACAGGCAAAGTCAGCCGGCAAGCTAGACTGAAGCATTATAGGGACTATAAAAGATGCAGGTGTACTGGAGTTTCTTTCTATTCTCCAGCCACCGTTTCATAGCCTAACCGAACCCTTAAGATCTTTCATCACACACGAACTTCAGTCAGCTAAGCCAAAATGCTAAAAACTGGGCACGTTTAGGAAAAGCAACATCCTCCTGAAGCACCACATCGGATGAATACGCTTCTATGCCTGGGTCCCACTGCCTGTATCGGCCATTCTCACAGGCTGTAGCACCTCCCCAGGTCCAAAACCCTTTCGAGAGATAATGCCTCAGGACGGCACCACCACGTTCAGCAGCACACAGACACACACGGAGCCCATCCCGAGCACCGCGGACGCGTTTCCCTCCTACCGTGCGGCGGCCGCGTCCTGACAGCTCCGGGCTGCGTGAGGCGGTGACAGCGCGGCCGTGGCCCCCGGGAAGGTGGAGGGGAACGGGACAACACAGCCCCAGCCAGACTGCGCCACACGCGCCCCCTCACCCGCGCCGCCACGGCCCACGCAGCGATGCACCCCCCACGGCGGGGCCACCACCAGCCGGCTTCGCCGCTTTCACCCGCACCGTGCCCGGCCGGGCTGGCGGAGAGAGAACCGGCGAGGACAGGACGCCCGAGCGGCTGCGCCCCTCAGCCCAGCGATAACTCCGACACCACCCGGCAGCCCTGAGCTACCTGCTGCCGCCGAGCAGGAAGCGGCAAGTGCGCAGGCGCCGGAGGGCCGGGGGTGGCCGCACGCAGGCGCCGGGCTGGACGCAGGCGGGTGAGTGCGGGGGTTCCCTCGGCTGCCCGCCGTGGCGGCGGGGAAAGTGTGCTGTGGCCGCTGGGCCTGGTACGGGTACCCCGAGGAAGGAGGGAGGGGAGAGGAAAGGAAGTGGTCACGGTCCGGTCTCTCCTTCGGTCTCCCCTGTTGTCGTCCGTCAGCCCCTCCCGCCTCGGCGGCGCACGAAGCGCAGCAGGCCTGAGCGGCAAGTGCTTCCCCGTTCGAAAGGGGGTTCTGCCTCTCAGGTGAAGTGCAGAGAAATGAAATAGGTGATAAAACGTGTTGACGGCGTTTATAGGAAAGGGGTTGGAACAGAGCATGCCTGCTAAACATGGAGGAAGAAGAGGAAGACTACATGTCTGATTTATTTATTAAGTAGGTGGCTCTTTTTTTTTTTTTCTCCTCTTAAGTGATTGTAACCATGTTTTTAAGAGTGCTAATATTTGCTGGAGTTACTCTTAGACAGGATGTAAGGCCGGGTTTGCCTATGGTGAGACGGGTGAAGGAAGCTATTCAGAAAGAAGAAAAGCAAAAAGAAGCCAACGAGAAGAACAGACAGAAGAGCATAAAAGAAGAAGAAAAAGAGAGACGTGACTTGGTACTGAAAAGTGCATTGGGCAGTGAGAACAAAGGCTTTGCTTTGCTCCAGAAGATGGGCTACAAGAGCGGCCAGGCACTTGGCAAAAGTGGTAAGCTGTCACTGGAAGTGTGTGTCTATATTCAGATGTACCTTCATGTTTTACAGACTGTAGCTGCCACTTTATATTTAGGGTGGATAAGTGCCTCTCCAGAAACCCTAATGTTGCTGAACTGTGAATGTGTTGTGGCAGAGCAAAAGATAAGAGTAAATCTCCTAAAAAATGGTGTAGGTTGAGAGATGCAAGGGAACTTGCATGCCCACAGGAATTGCTTTAAGAATATTTTCATGGTCTTGCAAAGCTAATAGTGTTCCACAAAAAGTCAGCCTTTCCCTCTGAATTTGTAGTTGGTTTCAGAAGAAATGGTACACACTGGCCTACACTTACGAAGCTTTAGTAGATGAAGTTGTCAAGTTGAGAGAGTCTCAAATGAAAAATGGTACAGAAGCCTGTAACAAAGCAGTCTTCACCACAGGTATGTTATACCTGTCAAGTCAAGGCCATTTTCTTTCAGTTGGGTAGTCTCCTGGAAAAGATTTATAGCAATCCAGCAGACAAGCCAAAAGAGAGAGGCATTTCCAGGTCAGCTGGGCGATTTGTAATGCACTGAGCATGCATTGATTTGGCTTTTTTCAACTTCCAAGCAAAAAAAAAACAACAAACCACCACAGGAAAATGTACATATTTAATGGTAAAAGCTGTTTGCCTGCTTGAATATACTGCATAAGGCATAGTTTGAGAAAGACTTGATTTCTTAAATTAACCTATTTTTTCCTTCACAGGAGAAGGCATTGTTGAACCTATCCCTCTGAACATAAAAACAGGTTTGTGATATTTCTTAATTTACTTAGTTAAGTATCATTGCTTCTCAACTGCTTACATTCATGTTTTGAATTAACATAGGCAGAAGTGGGATTGGTCATGAGGAATTAAAAAAGAGAAAAGCTGAAGAAAAACTGGAAAACTATAGACAAAAACTCCATATGAAAAAGCAAGCAAATGAACAAGCTGCAGATCAGTTCAGGTAAAATGATGTAACTGATGCTCCAAGCAGTGCCTGAACTGGAATTCTTTTTATGCTTCAAGTTAGGTTATTCTTATAATGTGTTGCTATTTTTTAATGTTTTGAATGAGAAGTAAGAGTTCAAGTATATAGTATGTTTCTTAGTTCTAAAGCAAAAGCAGGTGCACACTAAAAGCATGTGCTGCATCATTTATTTCTGTAGATGTTAATAACGCAAACAATATACATAGTAATTTAAGTCAACTTTTCAAATCGGAGAACCATGTAATTTTTGTTAATAGGAGGCCATAGCTAATCCTGAGCAGTGTTGCTACAGCAATTTTTAAAATTAGGATGAATTCTTTTAGGTTTTATTGTTTTTATTCTCCCGATTTCCTTATTATATGTGGAGAAGGAAAGCCTAGGGAAGGCTACATCTTCTGTGGATGTTTAATGGACCACTTCTTTTGTATCTTAGGAAAACCTGATGAAGAAACAGTGTTCAATGTAGTGTGGTCCAAAAAAACCCAAGACATTCCCAAGAAATACTTGTGTGCTCCCACAAAAACTGTCAGAGGGACTTCTTAACTTCAGTGTTGTCCTGGTCTGAGAGAATTAGGAGGGATAGAATCTTAGATTTTCTATTTTAGAAAAGCTATCAACTGTAATGTGTCTCAGTTTCTCTACCTGCTTATTTTATCCATCTACTTTTTCTTAACAGAATAAGATTTAAAACCAAACAAGAAGAACGTAAGATGGAAGGGGACCTCCGAAAAAGCCAGAGGGCCTGCCAGCAATTAGACATGCAAAAAGTGAGACTCGGGGGTTTTTAGGTTGGAAAGAAGGCTTATAGGTTAGACATACAGGCTGCAAACAAAATAGTCAGTTCTTGGGTGTTCTCTAAAACTGGGGGGTTACTAGCCCAAAGTCTTCATGTTTGGCAACACTTCAGTCCTTTTAAAATATTTCAAAATACGTGTTTGCACCATTAAGATATCTGAAGGTGTACACCAACCTCGTGGTGAGTTATGTGAGGACCTATGTTAATTTGCATTGTCAGAGCTCACCTGTTTTCGCTCCCACATCCTTGTGGTTACTTCTGAGCTGTTAACTTATCTTCCAGTAGCCCGTGTCAAGCCTCCCTAAATGACAGTGCTGTTTGCTTCAAGTGAGGGAACATCATCATCACAGAGTAGTTGACGCGGAAAGGGAGAGACTCTAGAGATCACCTTGTCCAGCCTTCCTGCTCAAGCAGGGTCACCTAAAGCATGTTGTCCAGGGCAATGTCCAGACAGCTCTTGAGTATACCCAAGGATGGGGATCATCATTGAGGTAATCACTAGATTCACCAAAGAAGGGTCTAAACAAAAAATCCAGACCAAAGTACCTTTCACCTGTAAGGAGTCACACATAAACTACTAAAAATTTCTGACCATTGAAAACTTCAAGTACTTTTCTTTTTTTGTCAGTTAACCTGTTAATACCACCCCATCATTTTATTTATTTTTTTTTAAGATAAAAGTAAATAATCCTTCTTGCGGACTGTTCTGCTTAGTTTCCCCACTAGAGTTTTAGTGATTCTTGGTTATATTATACAGGAAAGTTAAAATCTAATATCTCACCTAGAAAAACTGGTTTTATCCAGCATCTAACAAGAAAACCTGCAAAGGCAGATAATTTTCATTTAAGTCTTTCGTTATTTAAGGATATCGATGTTCCTAAGGAGACTTGGTACTGGCTAGAACCCGAAGAGGAAGACAAAAACGATGAAGAAGACAAGGAAGATGAGTGCACAAGCTCAGACTTAAGTGTAAGCTCTGCAACTGAATTAATGGCTTGATTCAGACTTCAGTTAAATATTCCTTTAAAAAGTGTGTATGTATACATATAAGTAGGAAGGACATACGTATACAGGTCACCTTCGAAGCTGTAGTGAATGGCCTCTTTGCAATCTTAGACCAGTATTTTTTATAGCAGTTAAAGGATATAATACAAAATGCTAAGCCACCGATTTATTGCTCATTGGTTTTGAAGCTGGTCTTTGGAAAAAATAGCCTAGAATTTAAATTCTAAACATTTTTTGTCTTTGCCAAGATATGCAGGACCATGTATATGATAAAGTTATTTTCTTTTGAGTTTTCATTTTGGATGCCTCATGTCTTAGGCTGAATTTTAGAATCGCTAAGGAATTTCTGAAAATGCTTCAGATGATCTCAAGAGGGACACTGGAAATTCACATCTTTTGAGAACGAGATTACACAGCTGCTGTTAGCTGTATGTGTTTTATTTGCAGAGATTAGGTGTGAAAAATTACACCAAAAACATTGTATACTTGAAATAAGGTAGCTAGGTAATATTTTTAGCTCTTGGGTGCAGGTTTCATAGCTAGAAAGAAGGATGAGAAAACAACAGCCATTAACTTTTCAGAGACTGTGAATTCCTGTGCAGTCTACTACAAATATGGGGAACTTCATGCCTTACTGAGCTACAGTATTGTGTAGCTTTTCCACAGAAAAGGGTTAAACAGTCTATTTTAGTAAAGGTAGTAGCTCAAACTGTTTGTGTCAGACCCAGATCATTGCATACCTATACATATCCCTAGGTATCAGAAAAGCTGCACATCCTGACTGCGTATTTGAGAGAACACCACTTTTACTGCATCTGGTGTGGCACAACCTATGAAGGTGAGAGTAAACCTGTTGTGTGTTTTACTTTGCTTATGCAGCTGGATTCAAATAGTAAAGTCTATCCTTCATGTTTCTCTTACTGGATGCTTTAAGCTTTACCATAGCTAGTTTTCCTGCTGTTTTTTGCACAAAGCTTTGTACATTTTGATTATAAACCAATTTTTAGGTGTTCATATGCATAAAAAAAAACTCTGAACAACCAACCACACAGATGGTTATTTGATTTGGTATTCATATTAAATTGAGGAAAAAAAAATAGATTAAAACCAGTACCATGCAAAGCTGTGAAAGGTTGCAGGTGTTTCTGAAAGAGTTAGACCACTATCCCAATTCACTGCACCAAAGAGGATAAAATTTGTGTTCACTTGTTTACCAACTTTCCCCCACACCCTGTCCCACTCTGAGCTGGAATTACTCACTTTTTCTCTGCTTATCCTGTAGACTCTGAAGATTTATCTTCAAACTGCCCTGGAGACAGTGCTGCAGATCATGACTAACCCCTTTCTAAAGGAAGAACCCCTACATAAGTATGTATAGTTCATAATATCTTTTAGAAGGTATGAAGCTGTGCCATACTAAATAATTGACATCAAAGTACGCAGAAGGATAGTTGGCAGTTAAACTCACATTTCTGAAGCATCTTACAGATTCTCTATTTGATGCATAAAGTAATAGGAATTAAAACTTTGTATTTCTAGTTGAACTACGGTATTAGAGGCAGGGTAAGTAAGCCTTCCATAGTCTTTGTTTATGCCCCACCCAACTGAACAAGACCAGCTGATAATAAAATTCAGGTTTGAGTAAGGAATAAATACTGGCTAGTAACTCCATTGTATAGTGTGTTAAACAGGATTTATTTTTTTATCTTTACAAAGATAACTAAACATCACTTTCTTTTCTTTACAATCTTAGACCTGGTGGAGAAAAAAGGTTATGAAACATAGACGTTATTTGAACCAACATTCTATGGCACATAAAGGTGCATATTTTGTGCAACTAAACAGAATCATAGAATATTTAGGGTTGGAAAGGACCTTAAGGTTATCTAGTTCCAACCCCCCTGCCATGGGCAGGGACACCTCACACTAAACCATGTCACCCAAGGCTCTGTCCAACCTGGCCTTAAGCACCACCAGGGATGGAGCATTCACAACTTCCTTGGGCAGCCCATTCCAGTGCCTCACCACCCTCACAGTAAAGAACTTGTTCTTTATATCTAATCTAAACTTCCCCTGTTTAAGTTTGAACCTATCACCCCTTGTCCTACCACTACAATCCCTAAAATAGTGCTAGATCATGTTGTTGGAGGATTTTTGTATATAAAATATATAAAAATATATTTTAATAGACTTTTATTTTTAGGGAACAGCAATTGCTACTGTAAACAGTCACTAATAGAAATGTACTGCTGAAATACACAAGTACTAGAAAAAAGTATAAAAAAAAATAGTGGGACAGGGTCAGTATTACTTAACACTAAAAACATAATGGTGTTACGGATGCTCTGTCCAAGAACTATAAAGTTTGGCATATACCGGTTTTCATATTGTAAGAGTAGTTGTATAGAAGTATAGAATCATTAAGGTTTGACAAGATATTTAAGATTGAATACAACTGTATGTCAGTTAGATCCCAGTGCATGGAAAGGGAAGAGGCAGTGGAACTCCCAGATCTTGACCACAACAGAGAAATAGTACTTGGTAGAGAATAGTAAAATGCTGTGTGCTTCCCAGCCACGGATCAGGCTAGGGAAGCTAAAGCCCTGATAGAATCAAATCTGGCCAGGAACATCAACAGCAGCAAGGAAAGCTTCTATAGGTATGCTGGTGATAAAACAAAGACTAGGGGAAATGTGGGCCCTCTCTGGAAGAAAACAGGAGACCTGGCTACCTGAGACATGGAGAAGGCTGAGGTGGGCAATGAAGTTTTTTCCTCAGTCTTCACCAGCAAGTGCTCCATCCACACCACTCAAGTTGTAGAAGGCAAAGGGCAAAGGCAGGGATGAAGAATGTGCTGTATGCAGTCAGGCTTGAGGCCATCTAAAGAACCTGAAGATGCACAAGTCTGTGGGACCTGATGAGATGCATCCAGAGGCCCTGAGGGAACCAGCAGATGAAATTGCTAAGCCACTTGAGTTGGGGTTCAGTCTGGAGAAGGCTTTGTCAGGACCTTTATCAGGATCTTTGTCAGCCTTCCAGTACCCAAAGGAAGCTTACAGGAATTCTGGAGAGAGACTTTTTGCAAGGGCATGTAGTGACAGGACAAGGAATGGCTTTGACTGAGAGGGTAAATTCTGATCAGACATTAGGAAAAAATTCTTTACTATGAATGTGGCAAGAAATTGTAACAGGTTGCCCAGAGGAGCTGTGGCTGCCCCATCTCTGACAGCGTTCAAGGCCAGGTTGGACAGAGTTTGGAGCAACGTGTTCTAGTGGAAGATTTCCCTGCTTCTGTTGTAGGAGAGTTGGAACTAGATGATCGTTAAGGTCCCTTCCAACCCAAACCGTTCTGTGATGGGGTATTTGTGATTCATAATAAGGCAAAAAAAACAAAAACCACTTCAAGCTTTAGAAAAGGATGTAAATCAGATTCTTACTTAGCAATAAATACTTGCAGACCAGCAATAATTCCCATAAGAATATAAAAATTACTGTGCGTCCCTTTATATTATTCCCTTTAAGCAAGCACCCACTCAAAATCTAAGGTTTTTGGAAGTTTAAAGCAAATCTAAACTCTATTACTGTATTTTTAAGTTCTAGAGCACTGAAGGAAGTAGGTGTTCAACAGGAATGTAGAGCTGCTGTAAAGAACTGTTGTAAAAAAAAACCAAACCGTAAAGAACTGAAATTCAGTGAATAACCCAACACTAACTCCTCATATTTTCTCTACCAAAATTAGTCTTTGTATTAATGGGAGTATTCTAGTAATTATTAAAAACATCACTGAACAAATCAGAAAGGTTTGAGTTACATACCACAAGACAGCACTTCAATGGCAGTAGATAACCTCAACTGATAATGGATGCATTAAGAGCATGCATACAGTGATTTGTCACAGGCCAGTTAGCACCATCAGTCTTCTAGGAGACGAGGACTAGGTTACTTTATGTACTGTAGAATATAGTTCAGCTCATCCACAACCTGTGTTTCCAGGTAAAATCGCAAGTGATTGCTTGCAGAAGTATGCTGCTCTGGTCTGCAGCTGATGGATGCGAATGGTGATATGACCCTGATAAGCTTCTCAGTGGCAGGAAGGCAAAACACCAAGGAAAAGACATAACCCAAGTCTTGCCGTTGCTTCTGACATGTACTGGTATTTCATCAGTTTTAAGAGACATCAAACTCTGGATTTAAACACAGTCTAAAAGTTTTTCCAAAGGTCATTTACTGAGTATGAGTTCTAAATGGCTTGTCTTTATCAACAGACTTTAAAAGTTCAAGTATTTGAGATGCAGAGTATCTTCGTGAAGGGTCTCTTGAAAGCATCTTTTTGATTATGGGTGCCTGTATAAAGAAATAAATATCAGTAAATTATTTTTAATTAGTAAATAAACTAATTGAAATAATGTATTAAAATCCCATACCTCTGTTGGAAATCGGTTGGTGAAGCTCTCTGGAAGTTCACCATCTCTAACTTCACTCCATAGCTGAGATTCATAAAAAAGAACAGGTTTAGGATGTTTTCATTTATTATATTTTGCATCTCACTTTATGACTCATATAGGTTACTGAAGTAAATAGGAAAATGCAACTGATACAAAAAAGGCAGGGCTTCAGAAAGCCCTTTCTTTTCAAAAAGAAAGTAACTGAAAAGTTTGACAGGTTTTTTACATCTAATTCTACCTTGGTTTTATGTTTGTCCCTTTTTAACTTCAAAGTTTCACATGCTAAAACAATGTGTTTCTTCCAGCAGTCCTCTACTTCAGAACCATTATCCTTCTTAATTTAAAAGTAGTGGGTTTATAGCCTCTTACCACAATAAAAACAAAAACAAAACCAAAATGCACAAACCAGTTTTTCTTTACTTTGGATCTTTCCTTAGGTTTCCTACTTTGGATGTTGCCATTGGCCAAGTGGGTTTGTTTCCTCCCTTTTACTTTCAGTACCACTTAGTGCTTTAGTTCAAAGCAGCTAACACGGAAAGCATCGCTAATTACGTGCTGTCAACTTTTGGGGTTTCTATCCACATGATGTAGCTTTCTAGGTAAACAGAGCAGTCCACATCATCCATTTGCTGTTAACTGGTGTAATTTTTGCCTAAAGAAGATGACAGTCCTGTTGTAGCGCACAGCTATGCATCCTGAATCATTAGCCAGTCTTACGGATGCTACAGCCTGGCTTAGCAAGCCTATAAGGGTTTTTTTACCAGTATCCGGTAAAACAAGAGCTCCCATGAACTTAGAGCTTTACCCCTACTCTTCAGCTTTAGGCCTGTGAGCCTGCCTGCTGGTGAGCATCATCTGAACCAGTTACTTAGCCATAATCATTAGCTTTGCTTTTGCATGATGTTCTTTGATCAGGGCTTGCCAGTAACATTCAACAGAGTTTATCCCTCCATTAAGGGAAATTGTTCCTTAAACTGATGGAGCAGTTGAAGACCATCCTAGGACTTCCCATCCACATGACTTCCCCATTTACCTGTAGACACAAGATTTTTATGCTTCAAAGAAACAACACTAAATAATTGGTCTTGCCCTTTCACCTATAACACTATGGAACTGTGAATACATTAGCACGGTCAGCTATTAGCAGGAGCAAGATGGCTTAGAAAATGCTACAGGGTAGCTGAAGAGACCCAAGTTGAACCTGTGAGTCAAGCAGACACATTGGTATGGTTTTCTCATGATGGCAGAAGGACCAAGCTAACTGTTCAAGAGCTTCTGGGTCCAACCATGTATGTATATCTTGCAATTACTTTGATAACATCCTCAGCAGCTACATCACTGTCCTACAAATATGAAGGTTTGAGCATACAAGCCATTACACTCTTAATGTGCAAAGTACCAAGAAAGCACAAGAGACACATAAAAGATCCCTTTTCAAAAAAAGCTTAAGTAACACTGGTTTTCTTTCTGAAGTAGCATCTTTGTGGGGTTTTTTTGCTAGACATTATTCTTTAGCATGCTCGGGCTTTAACGTATATGTCAATAAGACATAAGTGAAATAAAACCAGTAGTATTTCTTTACTTTGGTTATTACATTTCAACAGAGGTGTGAGGACTTGGTGTCTTACAGAAATAAAGCAAGGGGAAAATGTAAATAAAAACAGTGTTATAGATACACACATTGCTTCTAGCGTGCCGTTAGCATGTGATCCCAGCAGCAAGGCAAAACAATGACAGCAAGACTTTTTTAAAGATTACATACCTTCTCTTTCTCATGACCACTGAATGCCGAAAGAATCTCAAACCAAATTAACCCCAGTGCATAAATATCTACTTCCGTTCCGTATCTGTCCCCGAGCTACAAAGATCAGAACAAGAACAATGCAGTCAAATCCAACTGGACAGCACTCTTAAAACAATTTTTGAAGACAGCAAGACATTCCCACCCCAAGACTTCAGGACTGGCCCCACTTGAGCTCCTCATCAGTTGTTACCCCTTTCTCCTACAACTAGTTTGTCACATCAGTGCAAGAGCATTCCTTACAGCACACAGTGTCAGGACAGCAGCAGAAAATCACCACACTTGCAGACAGCTTTCTCCAGAATGCTGTTATGCTCATATACAGTTATACCATGGAACTTTAGGCAACCTTGTTTAATACCGAGATTAGGATCAGGAACATCCAATGCTGACTTTATAATGCAAATCTAGTTACAGAGACACTAATACAGCAGGATAATTACCTGTTCCGGTGCCATGTATGATTTTGTTCCTGTGTTCTCAGTCAGATTGTCACATGTCACAGAAGTCACAAGACCAAAGTCACCTATTTTTATTTTATCTTCATCTGATACGAATATATTCTGAGGCTATATGTAAAAAATGAAAAATCACTATATGACCAAGGTTTATTGTCAAGCATAATCAGCCACGGAAGTGCTCCCATAAAATGTGATAATTGTTCACAGAAATTAGCATTAAGAAATTGATGGGGTAGGAAGCAGAGGAAAAAATGCAATTTTTAAAAACAGAAACCCAATTTAAAATAGTACATGACACAGTAACTGCAATGGGTTGGGTTTTTTTCCACTAGCTCAATCATAACTGCCATGCTTTAATGTTCTTCAGGTACATTGTGCATGTAACATTTCATATCCAGAAATGCTTCTTAGTCTCCAGTCCTAGCCCTGGAATTTGATGCATGGGCAAAGCATTTAGGGTCACACTGAATTCCACTCAAATCCTAGTTTCTTCTAGGCACAGCAGCATTATCTGTACACAGACAATCGCAGTGTTAGAGCTTACTACAGGCATCTCACAGTACCACTTCTAACTTTCCATTGAACTTATTTCAATATAAAGATTGTGGACTTGTAGAGACTGAAGTCCTATCCAAAAAAGCAGCATTGAAATGTTTGCCGATGTAATGAAAGAGCAACTAGAATATGCTGGTATCAAACACGGCATGTATTAGGATAGATGAACTATCCCTTTACAATATGGCAAGAGCAAACTTCCTAGACTCAACTTTTTCACTTTCTTACTTCTAATTATTTTATCAGTAAAGTTAGTATTTATTTTTCTGGTAGGCAGTCTGGTGACCCAGTAACACATAATACACTGAAAATGCCTGTTAACTGATGGCTGCAGATTTCTTAACTGCATTCTGAGATCCTCCGGTTTACCTTCTGACTTGAGGATGAAGTCAAGCCAGTTTCTGAAAAAACAATTCCTAGCAATATCAGAAGAGGCACACTACTGGGGTACATAACACACTAAAAGACTAGAACTAGTTAACATTTTAGGAAATTCCAAAGAGTACTATTTTTATCTTTTTTATTATTACCTATCCTACTTACCTTGAGGTCTCGATGAATTAAGCCTTTAGAATGAATATATTTTACTCCTTCCAGTATTTGTAAAAATGTGGTTTGTGCCATTTCATGATACTTTCGGTTTCGTCGATTCTTTTCGATCCAGTTTTCCAGTGGCCCTTTTTCACATAATTCCATTTGAATGAAAAGACAGGGAATTTCTTTGTCTGACTTCTGCCTGCAAAAGGAAATTTTATACCATGTTGAAATTGGCAAGATACAATTCCTCTCAAGCCATCAATGATTCTCAGGTTCCACTTCTTTAAAAAGTTTGTTTAATTACAGGTTTTGGAGTACTCCAAACCACGGTCTGCAAGCCTTCTGCTTTTGAAAAAGATTCTAGACCAATTTGTACTGGATATAAATAAATAGAACTGCAAACCAAACAGTCCCTGGCTCAGTTGCTCCATACCCCTGGAATATCCCCAATGTTTTGCTTGCTTCGTTCACACCAAATGATTTCTGAATGTCCAAATTCTGGTTCATGTCATGTCTATACAGGAAGAGGTAGCACTGTCCTTGGCATACATTGTGCCCTCTAGCAACTGCTGCAAGTCCCTGGCAGGTATTCTCTATTCTGTTCAACAAACACAGAATTAGTTCCCTCTACTACCCAAAATGTTCACATTCTTTCAAACTCCATCCTTCTGAAAGCTGGAAATCTAGATGAAACATATTTGTCCATCTGACACCCTCACTTTTCAGTAGATATCCCTCACCATCAGCCCATAGGATAGGCTGGGGCTGGAGATGGGGAGGGGAAGGACAATATGAAGAGGGGGCACCACGTCTTCCTGCTTGCACTATGTGATTCAAGTGTCCTGAAATAAAGCTGCCTGAGGTACTGAAAGAAGAAACATTAAATGGCTTGGGACTCTGCGGTTCTGAGGTCAAGTCACTAAGCAGAATTCCAGGCTGGGACCTTAGCTTTGAAGACTTTTTTGTGTCTTTTACCCAATAACTGTTCAATATAAAATGCATTACTGATACTGAGACTCCAACATATTAATCGTTAGGTTTTGATGAGACATTTCCCCTCCATTTTATTCTTTATTTACTGACCACATAGGACAGATACCATGCCAACTATAATTTTGAATCCATTAGTATTTCATGGCTCTAGGTAGAGGCTAGGCAACCTACCCGAAAGGTACAAATTTACAGCTAGTGAAAAAAGCTTACCACAGAACCTTTGAGAAGTTAATAATCTAACTTACAAGTAAAACTCTCACCGCTGTCTTCCCAGAAGTCTTAGTGTTGGAAGACTACCTCTAAATGAAAGACATTTCATCTTGTATTTCTGTTCTCAACAGCCAAAACCGTTTCAGGCATTATGGTTAAAAGGCTAACTTAGAGAAATCATTAAATCTATGAGAGCTACTGGGTGGCCAGTACTTGCTCAAAAAAGGAAATTTCTGATCAAGAATTTGGCAGCCTGCTGCCAGGCAAATTTTAGTTTCTGTTCTTAATTCTAGCCCCAGATTTTGAGTTCTACATTCTTATACTCTTCTATAGATTCAGCAAATTTTGTATATTAAGAAAGAGGAGAAAGAGAAAATTACATATCTTACTCATCAAGGAAAAGAAGATATAAATATGCTTAATTATATACAACCTACTGCTGAAAAGGACTGTACCTTTTTCCTAGCAGGAACTATGGAATTATCTGTATGCAATTATATTTGTGTAAAACCAATCACCAGCCTTTCCTTTTACAACACAAGACTCACTATAGCAAACAAGTTTGTAAGTGCAAACTACTATTTTGTAGTTACCTTGAGGCTGGAGAAGTTACATGGTCGTACCCTGGCCAGCTATTGTAATACCGCACTATGTTTTTGTGTTCAAGTCTTGCAAGTTGTTTTACTTCACGCACATTCCTATTTGGAGTGAGGGAGGAATCATTTCCCAATAAAAATATTAAATGAAGTTAAAGTCATGATATAAAGTAGCAGTATACAAGTAGTTTTACATTCATTTAGAAAAAAACCACAAATGATAATATTCTTCATTCAAATTCAAAATTATTATTACAAATTCTGTGGGGTTTCTTTCATCTGCCCAGTTATTCAAAGTAAAAAAAGTGGCTTAACCATATTAGAAATGAAAGCCTCACTAAAAAAAAACCAAAAAGAAAAACAAATAAAAAACCAAAAAACCCCCAAACAAACAAAAACAAAAAACCTGAAAAAAAAAGCAGATTGCTGCAGTGCATAATTACACCATGTAGAATCATAGAATAGTTAGGGTTGGAAAGGACCTTAAGATCATCAAGTTCCAAACCAAACACAATGTAGCAAACACCCATGTTTTCTGGTCACTGCTGTGAAGTTTGTTTACATATACAGAAGTCAGTGGAAATACTCAGGAAGAATTCTTACTAAATTTGTCCTGTCCTTCTAACAGTGCCTACTGAAGTAAGTTCAAACCCATCAGCCCATCAGTCTTTCTTTGAAGAATCATGAAAATGTTTGTTAGTGTAGTTCTCAGGATTGCAATACCAATGAAAAGAACAAGTATCTGTGAAGATCACAAGAATTTGATGGGCAGTTGAACTATGTAAGGGTCAGGTATTTCCAACTTGAAACCTTTTGTATAGATTACGTAAAAGAAAATCAAGTTTTTCAGCCAGTGATAAAATACTCCACTAGAGACAGGCAACAGAAAACCACTTAAAAAAAAATGGGATCATCACTTGTAAGTAACAAGTAACACAGCATGAGAATAATGACTACATGGGTCATATATAAAGCATTTTCCAAGTAGAAACCACTAAATGTATTACTTACATTTTTCTCTATTTTCCCTAATTATAGTCAGTAAGCATTACTTTCCATGTAACCTCTCTAAAGTAACAGTGCTGCTTTCAATGTCCTATTAATCAGCAGGTTTTCTTCAAACATATTTTGCAGTATTAATAACCAGAGCACTAGTGTGTTCAGGGAAGGTAGAACTTAACAAATCTACTTCCTTACAGCTGCAACTGAAATTATTCCGGTGCATGCAAAAAACAACATGCTGTTTTCAGCTTCACTTAGAAATAAAGGATAGGTTTATCAGAAAGAACATGCGACTAATAATGAAAATTGCTTACACACATACAGACTTATAAAAGAGACAAAACAAAGTACTAAAATCTTGATTAAGGTTATCCTAAAATAAAAACTAGAAATAAATATACAGTACTTACTTTGCGAATTTAACTCGTTTGACTGCATAGGTCTTCTCATCAAGCTTTGCTGTTGCTTTGAAAACATTCCCAAAGCCACCTTCACCAATAGGTTCTATATTCTTAAAACTCTCAAGAAATCTTAAAAAAAAAATATATATATATATATATATACATATTTATATATAAAAACTTTAAAACTTTAAGCATACTTAATGTTAAGTTTCTAAGATCTAAAAATGATCCTGACTGGTCTACTACACTGGCTGCAACATCATTTCGAGAGATCACTCGGCATTATACAGGTCTAAATCACAGTCTTAAAGATTAAAAAAAAAACAAATAAAAAGGGAACCTGACCCCTGAAAGCATGTAGGGTAATCACTCTCACATCTTCACACAAATGACCTTTGGGTGTAACCATCAAAGGACATTGCATGTCAGTTGCTATACTAGAAACCGACATTTCCAGAGGAAAAAGAAAAAATAGTACCTCAAATACTGATTAGCTTTGAAAGTTATTTTTACAGCCGTACTTTTCTACATTCTGTGATGGAACACCTTATCCTTGGTGCCATCTTAAGGCATATCAAGGATAAGAGGGTTATGAGGGGCAGTCAACATGGCTTCACCAAGGGGAAGTCATGCTTGACCAATCTCATAGCCTTTTACGAGGAAATAACACGGTGGATGGATGATGGCAGAGCGGTGGATGTGGTCTACCTTGACTTCAGCAAAGCGTTTGACACGGTCTCCCACAGCATCCTCCCAGCTAAATTGAGGAAGTGTGGTCTGGATGATCGGGTAGTGAGGTGGACTGTGAACTGGCTGAAGGAGAGAAGCCAGAGAGTTGTAGTCTATGGGGCGGAGTCTAGTTGGAGGCCTGTATCTAGTGGAGTGCCTCAAGGGTCGGTACTGGGACCAGTATTATTTAATATATTCATCAATGATTTAGATGAGGGAATTGAGTGTACTATCAGCAAGTTTGCTGATGACACTAAGCTGGGAGGAGTGGCCGACACGCCAGAAGGCTGTGCTGCCATCCAGCGAGACCTGGACAGGCTGGAGAGTTGGGCGGGGAATAACTTGATGAAATATAACAAGGGAAAGTGTAGAGTCCTGCATCTGGGCAGGAACAACCCCAGGTTCCAGTATAGGTTGGGGAACGACCTGTTAGAGAGCAGTGTAGGGGAGAGGGACCTGGGGGTCCTGGTGGACGACAGGGTGACCATGAGCCGACACTGTGCCCTTGTGGCCAAGAAGGCCAATGGCATCCTGGGGTGTATTAGAAGGGGGGTGGTTAGTAGGTCGAGAGAGGTCCTCCTTCCCCTCTACTCAGCCCTGGTGAGACCTCATCTGGAATATTGTGTCCAGTTCTGGGCCCCTCAGTTTAAGAAGGACAGGGACCTGCTGGAGAGAGTCCAGCGCAGGGCAACTAAGATGATTAAGGGAGTGGAGCATCTCCCTTATGAGGAAAGACTGAGGGAGCTGGGTCTCTATAGTTTGGAGGAGATTGAGGGGTGACCTTATTAGTGCATATAAATATATAAAGGGGGAGTGTCATGAGGATGGAGCCAGGCTCTTCTCAGTGGCAAACAATGATAGGACAAAGGGCAATGGGTACAAACTGGAACACAAGAGGTTCCAGTTAAACTTGAGAAGAAACTTCTTCTCAGTGAGGGTGACAGAACACTGGAACAGGCTGCCCAGGGAGGTTGTGGAGTCTCCTCTGGAGACATTCAAAACCTGCCTGGACACATTTCTGTGTAACCTTATCCAGGTGTTCCTGCTCCGGCAGGGGGATTGGACTAGACCTTTTGAGGTCCCTTCCAATCTCTAACATACTGTGATACTGTGTGATACTGTGATTAAAAAACTCCTCAAATCTAGACCACTACATACTGTGATTGCGATACAAATCTTGAAAAAAAATAGAAGTCCTTCTTACCTTTTATTCACAGTGTATGGGCTTTCATTTCCCTCACTGGTATTTGTGTCCAAACCTGGCAAACTCTCATCTGACATCTTTTTTACCTCTTCCTTGTCTCTCACATTATTAAAATTAGCTGCCAATTTTCTGTAACAAAGATAAAAGCAAAACTTATAATGGCCATTTTCCTAATATCTGGCAAAAGAAATCTACCTCCCAATATTGCCACTTCTTTACTAGATACAGAAACACTACAGTGGTTTGCAATACAGCTTATGGGAGATAACAACCTAGAAACAGACACGTACCTTCGGAGTTTCAGAGCAGAACTTGGTGTGTCTCTCTAAATGAAAAAGAGAAAAAAAACAACACTCTAACTGAAATATCCTGGCTATTTTAACTATATTTAGTTTAAAATATGTCTGAGAATGTATCTAGGAATTGTCTATAAATGTGTTCATAACTTATATATGCAATGTAATATGAATGAAGCCACATCTTAGCTTCTAATTTTCACATATGCTATGTATGACATTATCATACTCTTCCCACAGAAGAATACAGACTTAGTTTGGCTCCTTTTCTTGGGAGCACTGCCCATTTGGTCAGCAGCACATAGATTGGGTCTAAAGTACAGAAGTAAGTGTCTAACGGTTAACAGCACAGATGTCCTAAATATACTTAGGGAAAAATCGCAGATGTTTTCTAGTGATTAGTAGATAAAGGAACAAACTGATGCTACACTCTTTCAAGAAGCTTGCTCTATTCAGGGTCTAAAATGTAGTTATGAGGAAGACCATTTTCATACTACACCTGAGAAGGCGAAGGCTTTTCACATACTGCCATGTTTTCCATTATTTCTGCCAAATTTGCAGCTGAGTCTTTAAAGCAAATACTGTTGCTACTGAAAAAGAAGAAACTAGGTTTACGTGAAAGTAAAACAAATAAAATGATTACCACAACAAAGAAAAAGGCATAACCCCCCCCCCCCCATAGATTCTAAAGCCAAAACCTGGAAAATCATTAACAATTGTGATGCATTTAAAGTACAAAACTTTATGCTGGAAAGCTAATAAAACAACAACATTTTGTAATATAATCCTCTATTTCTATGATCTATCTATATGATACATATTTTATGATCGCCTTTAAATAAATAGGTTAAACACAGGTTTTTATGTCAAGACAGCACAGCCACCTCTAGCGTTATACATACTGGCTTGCTTTAGAATCCCACAAAAACATAAAAGAAGTGGTTGTGGCACTGCAGTTAAATGCTGAACTCAAAAGGCTTAGACCTAGGGTTTCCAAATCACAAATGAAACTGTCTGCAGGTTCATTGTCTTTCACTAAGCAAATTTTCCCCTTGTATATGGGGAATGGAAGAAAACAAACGAAAACCCCATATCTCACAAAGAAAACTCACACAAAAACAGAGAAGAAAGCAGAATGTGAGGCACAGGAAAAGTATTTGAGTTGTATTATACTGAGTTGACAAGAGTACCATAACAGGAAAATGTGTTAAAATTGGCATGCAATAATGCCATTATAACAATGAGGTAAGGTTATTCTGTTTACACCATAAAATTGCTTCTGAAAAAACTCACAGCAAAAAGTAAATATTATCTGACAGCTCTACAATTACAAGCTAACCCATAAGCACTCAAATAAAATTGCACAACAGATTTTTCTCTGGCATGTAAGAAGTCAAACAGCTTTATTCTGCATTAAAAAAAACTAACACAGATTTTATTAATAACAAGAACACGTGACCTTCTAAGATTAGTAAATACATTTTGTTAGCACATCATCAGTGAACCCAACTTACTCCAAGTCAGACTGAGTTGACACTTGATGGAAATCACTATTGTCACTAAATGTAGAGTTGCTGTTAGATGTTCCATTTCCCATCTGAAAAACAGAAACAAAACAACAGAAAAAAAAAGTTTAACAAAAGCATGTAAAAAATCCCATTCAAAGAGGGGAGAAGGAAGATTACAAGATCCTAAGTGGAAGCTGTTAGCTGCGCTGAAGATTCAAAGCCCTGCAGAAGTAAGGCATCTGCCTAACTTCCACCCAGAGGAGTAGAACACTGGGCCCTGTCACAGACAGCAATTTTCCCACTCATATTTAGACTATATAGACATATTTATATATTTAGACTACATAGATATAGGCATGAGTCTTGGACCTGTTAAGAATCAGGATAAAAGTAACAGCTATAAATAGCAAATGTTTTTACTGCACATGCAATTGCCTGCATGGAAAACAAGAATTATGAAGGCTTTAGTATGTGTAATAGGCAGAACAGAAAATTTCAGTTGGTACAAAAAGACATTTAACATCTTTGGTGCGAAAACCCTGCAAAACCTAGATTACTAAATCAGGGTTCACTAAAATAACCTAATTCTAACTACTTAGTAGAGGTTCTTCCTCTTCCCCCCCTCCATGTCTTAAGAGCATAAATGTAACATTAAAAGCAACACCTACCATTGTTACAGGCCATAAGCAGACAAAAAAGTTTATGTGTCAATGATACCAAACATTCTTTTATTTTTTCTTTTCCTTTAATTTGGGAGTACTGGGCTTTTACTACTTTTTCCTGGTTACATTTTGTTTGTTACACACACATCGATGGGAATTAATAAAAATTCAAACCAAACCAAAACAACCAATACCCCAATTTTAGAGTAACAGCTACAGAGGTTCTTTTTAAGTAGGAAATTTCAGACTTCAACGAAAATCCAAAGACCCATGAGCTCACAACATAGGAAAATATTAAGAAAGCATCCTAGAGGTTTAATAGGCAATTAATTCCATGGTTAACTCAAAAGAGTTCTTTCCTCCACCATACTGCTTTCCTTCCCTTTAAATTGCATTTAAGTTAGTTCCTATATACTGTTGTCTGCCTTTCAGAAGTGAGTTTAGATCACTATTAGGATTCTGATGATTTTTTGCACATATGAAAATACGGCCACCAACATGAAGACAAGGGCTCTGCTCTCCGAAGGAAGGTGTTAGTAATTGTTTTACTAGACTCTGCTTTGGAATACTACAGAAGGCAAGCCCTGTTGATTCCCACTTCCCCTTTTGCCTTTCTGGCATTGCACGGTACACTTTTGATCCAACAGAAGGCAGCAAGAGATTTATTTTCTTAGCCAGTCAGCTCAACAGCAGCTCACACGGGAAACACCCAGTACATTAGAGCAGTCAGAATTCAGAATGTTTTCATACATGTGCATCCTTGACTGACAACATATCAGACCCTCTTCTGAAATGCAGAGATACCGACTGTGAGATTTCTTTTTTTAATCCATCAATTGACTATAGAAACACAACAAAAATTTTACCTACAGAATCCCGTAGCCCAGAAAACCCACCAAAATATGGATTGTTTTTTCCTTAAGTGGAATCCTTGGAATGTGATTTTAAATACAATGAGGAAATCTGTTCAAAGATTACAGATGCAAGAATTAAACTCCCATTTTAAGGTGAAATATAGCACATACTGTTATAGCGCCTTCCTCAACTAGCTTCTCAAATGCTTGTTTTGCAGCAGCTTGTTTTGCAGCGGCTAGAGAAGGTCCAGTGCCATTTCCATACACATAACCACTAATTATACATCGACAAGAAAACCTGGAAAACACAACAGGGATTAACATCTTATATCCCATACAAGTCTTAGTTTAATGATTTTAAAGACTACGGTCAATTGACATCATAGAATGGAAATCCAAAACATAAATCTTCAGGACAGTATTTCCAGTGCACATTTAATCTAATTAATAAAGGCAGATAACTATTTTGACATGCCTTCAAGTTAACTAATTGTCAGAGAGTGAATATTTAGCACTTTTTAAGATTGAACTCCTCAAACCATCATCATATGCACCCACAATCACAAAGTATTCGCAGTTTAGGTTTTAAAATGGTTGATTTTGCAGGGGAATAGAGGAGAAGTTTTCCAGCAGATACTGTCAAGAGTTAAAATACATTGATATTCTTTATCATCCCTCAGCTGTCATTAACTGGAATGTTTCTGTGACTCACTGACTGCTATACACATAGAAGGAGACACAAACACATAAAGACTCCTTGGCACTTGGTTCCTACAGGTCTCCAAGATACATGCTGAGAAATAAACCAAGGTGCCGGAGCTACAACCAAGAGAACTAATAATTTGTCTACACTGACTACCATTTTATCATCATGCCATCTCTTTCACTAGCTAAACAGACTCAGTCCTCTTAGCCTCTCATACCACTTCCTCCAACTATTTGACCACCCTAATGGTGTTCCACTGGATTCTCTCCAGACTACGTCCGAATTATTATTGTATTTCTATAGATTCATCTAATGCTACTCAGGATAACTAATGGTAGTGGGTCATAGTGTTATACAATACAAAGAAATATTAAAAGCAAGTACAGAGACAAAAGTACATCTTACACAGGAGCATGGGCATCTCCAGTACGTGTGTTAGGATAATTGACTCTTTGCAAGGTCCTTTGTGAATACGTATTTAGTTGGCTGACATAGTCACCAGACTGTACAGGTAATAAGGTCATCTGGGTTGTTGATAATTCTGCAGCTTGGGTATTTGAAGGACTCTCTGGCTATAAAATAAACAAAATAGGTAACTTAAAAACTTAAACTTAATAGATAGCTTAAGATAAACAATGCACAAGATCTAACATAGCTGCAAAGTTTGTCAGCATTTTGAAATATTTTCAAGGAATCCCAAGTCTGCATTAACCGAGTCCCTTGTGGCAAAGGGGAGCTACCCCAACCCAGAATTACTACCGTGGGTTTACAAGCAAATGCAAATCCAGTTTTTCTACTATTGTACCAAAGAAAAAAAAAAAAAATAAAAAAGCAGCCAATGCTGCCTTCTGAATTGTTTTCATATTTTTAAACCCTGACAAAAAAAAAGGATGGCAGCACGATGCTGCTGCTGCTGCGATTAGCAAGGGCTGCAAATGCCTCTGTGCATGTACAAGAGGGGAAAGCATACCTTTTCAGCTGTCTCATGATTAGGCAGCATTAATAACACATCAGCAAATATGCAGCAGTTGTGTTAAAGTAATGATGGAGACACAATAGAAAGCATATGGAAACAGATAAGGAGAGATTTCAGTCAGAAGGTGCTAACAAGCATTCAGAGTCAAAAGGAAACGTAAAGAATGGCTACCAACAATACATGTGCTGGAAAACAGAGGAGCAAAATTCAAACCTAAACTAAATCAAGGAAGAACAAAGAGTGTAGAATAAAAGAATGAAGAATATAATGACAAAGATGCATCAGGTTAAGTGAAAGTAAGCAATATTATGAGTTTTATGAGAGAGGCAACAGGCATAATGAACAATGTCCTGCAAATGTTTTCAAGACATCGAATTACTGAACAGCTGTGAAGATGAAAAAGGAACACTGTCCATTCTGGATGTACCAAGGCAGCTTAAGAAAGGCAAATACATTTCCTTACCCTCCTATAAGAGCAGAGAAAGAAACATTCTTGATATTATGTACCAACACTGTAGCAGAACAGTAAGAAAAAGTTCCTTTTAAAGTAAAGCATTGAATAAGACAGAACAACTTCAATAATTAGAAACTCTCCAATGGCTAATTTCAGAGATTCATCTTCGATTTTTACTGGAAAAAAAAATAAATCCTACAGTTTACTCACCTGTTTCTCGATCATTTCCCAGGCCTTTTTTGCTGCAATTGCTTTTGCTTCCTTCTTATTTTTACCAGTGCCTGTACCATATTTTTTACCGTTTACCTTAACCGCAACTGTGAACCTGCAATGAAGGAAACTTTTCTAAAATATTGTAACATTTTGTCTCATATGTACATTATAACATTCTCAAATTCAACTCTCTTATTATCTACAAAGATAACTGTGAAAGTATTTCACAGACCTTATAGCAGCTTTCCAGTATCTGAAGGGGGCCTATAAGGATGCTGGGGAGGGACTCTTCATTAGGGACTGTAGTGATAGGACAAGGGGTAAGGGGTCAGAACTGAAACGGAGGAAGTTTAGATTGGATATAAGGAAGAAGTTCTTTACTGTTAGGGTGGTGAGGCACTGGAATGGGTTGCCCAAGTGAATTGTAAATGCTCCATCCCTGGCAGTGTTCAAGGCCAAGTTAGACAGAGCCTTGGGTGACATGGTCTAGTGTGAGGTGTCCCTGCCCATGGCAGGGGGGTTGGAACTTGATGATCTTAAGGTCCTTTCCAACCCTAACTATTCTATGATTCTACGATTTAAGTATTCGTGTCTTAGCCAACCAAGCACTAGGAAAGAGCACCACAAGGGCACTGGAGGACGTTTACAGCACTCATTGCTGTAGCCTGACACTGCAACTTGTACTACTTGGAACAGCCCAAGTTATCCAGCATGTTCCTGGATACCACCGTCCCACTTCACATCATTTACAGGTACAAGAGAGTGGATGGAACGGTACTTGCGAATGTAGCAGAGTACACTGAAAAAAAAAAAAAAAAAGGAAAAAGTGCAATAAATGGGAAAACCCAGTAAATTTTAAATGTGTGTGAATTCTCTTAGTCCCATGCCATCACTTTTGAAGCATGCAGATGTAGCTGTGTAGCCACAGCTGTGGCCATTACTATGATGAGGATTTTCCCCATGCAGCTCATGCAATTAAAAAAAAAAAGAAAAATTAAGATAACTAACATTTGACACCCAGATAATAATTTATTTTGAGACTATGGTCAGGTCTAAGAATAAGTCAGTGCAAACAGTGCTGACCGGCAAGAAGGAAGGCGTTGGAAGAAACAAGCATTAGCATAAGGCATGTCTACATGCAAACTAGCAAAAACGAAAATAAAGAAATCACACAAGGAAACATGATAGATCTTGAGTATCTGTGATCTCTGGCCAGGGAAAAAATAGCAAAACACTATATCTGTGTTAAAGAAATAAAACTCATTCCTTCACTTGTAATTGTCTCTTCAAGTAAAAGCAAAGCAGCTTAAGCAAAAGACTTTTCTTGTAACAGATGTTCAAAAACTGACTATACATAAAACATGCTGGTACCCAATCAATTGATATAGGCCCAACTTTATAGTTAGAAACTAGCAACATAACTCACAAATAATTTCTCAGCTTTGTAAAACTAAATAAACAAAGCATTTAAGTTAGCATAGATCATAAACTGAAATATTTGCTGCCAGCTATCCCACCACATGACAGATTTCATGGCAGATGCGTAACATACCTATAGTATAGTTACTTACAGTATAGATACAGGTGCATTGATGCTGCTTTCCAAAAAATGGAGAATCAGTTTTCTCCTCAAACTCTATCACAACACCCTCTTCACCCACCTACCACTCACTTTATGGCTCCAACCAGCTCTCCCACCACACACTCACTTCCAGTACGTAACTTCTACGACTTCATGTTTTATCTACTTCATTTATTGCAGGAAGAGTCCTGATGGTTACTGAGGTGCATAGTGAACTTACACAGGATCATGAGATGGGCCAGTCATGCTGACATCAGCATAAACCAGGGTAAATTTATGCTTTTGACAGTAATGGTTGATCTTCTCCATACACTCACGTTCCATCTTGATGCAATCTCCAATAGGTTCTGCAAAGCAACATTCAAAAGTATGTCTGTGCCTCCTGGCATAGCAGGGAGACCACCCTTAACCCTGCGAGACCACTGCTGTGATATCAAATAGAGAACTGGTACCAGTAACGTAAAAGTCATGGAAAATTAATTCCAATTTCTAATTCAAGTGATTGATCAGGAGCTGGGTTTGAAGACACATTGCTCGGAAAGACAGTTTTAGAAAGCAGAAAAAAGAACCTGGAGACTTCTCAGCATATTTTTCAGCAGGAAAATGTTGAATGGTTCACCAAATACTGTGAAAAAAATCCCAGTCAGTAAAGTGTCTCCAGACAGAATTAGGACCGATTCCTTCAGAGGGAGAACCAAGAGGCGCTCGAACATACCCTTTGGAGCTGCGATGAGTGCCAGGCCCAGTGACACGCACTACAGGTGAGCCGCACTCTCGGCGGCGGCGGCGGCGCGGCGCGGCGCAGAGCAGCGTACGGGCAGGCCGCTCGAACCGTGTGGCGCGGGCAGCCTGCCCCTCCGGAGCGGCCGGATTCTCTTTTCCCGGATCCGGTACTCCCGAGCAGCAGCAGGTACCCCGGAGCCGGCGCGATGCGATGGGATGCGATGAGATGAGGTGCGGTACGGTGCGGTGCGGTGCGGCAGGACCGGCAGCTGGCACGCACCGGCGCGGTTTCGCTTCCCGCAGCAGCTCCCGCGCGTCTGAAACGAAACCGAAAGCTGGAGAAGCGGTCCAGGAGCCCTGGTGCGGTACGTGGGGAGGCGGGCAGGACTGCTGGGAGAACAGGCGGCTTCTCCGAGATATGTGACATCCTGGTAGCACCTCCCCTCCCGCGTTGCTCCCCGACCATTACCTCCTTCTGTTACAAGGCAGCCACGGAAATAGCACATACGGTATGTATTTCCCTGCCCATGACAGGGTGGTGGTACTAGATGCTCTTTAAGGTCCATTCCAACCCAAACCACTCTATGATTCCATATAGCTCAGCTATATGGCCAGAGGAGAGTAGCACTGCACCCAGCTTTTCACAAATACATCCAAATATTTGCTTATTTCTTTTTTTTTTTTTTTAAGTAGCCTTCCTCCCTCATAGACTAGATGGTTGACACTCGTATCCCTTACAGAGTGTTCAGTAGCTTCCCAAAGAAATGAGTTCCAAACCATAGACAGGGCACATAGCAGAAAGTATTTCCTTTTATACATTTTAAATTTTCAATTCACAGAATTATCATAGTATTATAGAATGGTTTGGGTTGGAAGGATCTTGAAAGATCATCCTGTTGCAACCCCTCTGCAAGGGGCAGGGACACCTTCCACTAGACCAGGTTGTTCCAAACCCCGTCCAAGCTGGCCTCGAACACAGCCAGGGATGGGGCAGCCACAGCTGCTCTGAGCAACTTGTTCCAATGTCTCACCACCCTCACAGTAAAGAATTTTTTCCTAATATCTAATCTAAATCTCCCCTCTTCCAGTTTAAAACCATTCCCTCTTACTCTGTCACTACACACCCTTGTAAAAAGTCCCTCTCCAGATTTCTTGAAGTCTTTGAGCAACCTGGTCTGGTGCAAGATGCCCCTGCCCATGGCAGGGGGCTTGCAACTAGATCATCTTTAAGGTACCTTCCAACCCAAACCATTCTACGATTCTATGATGATCCTATGACTTCTTTCTTGTTAAAACACCCCTAGAGCAATTCCATAATTCTATGTATGGACTTCACTTAAAGATACCAAATGCCTTTCTTACGTTATCATTTCTAGACTATGCAACACACCTCATGTTGTAACTTGGCTCCTACTTCCGTTTCTGATCACCATTCTTTTCCTGGCTCTGAGCTTCCATGAGGCATTTCTGGCCTCTAGTGAGCCTGCAGAAAGAACAGTTAGAAACTACTGTGCATGTCAAGTGTACGATTTCACAGAGACCATGCCAAGAGGAAAAGCTGCCATGAGTGGCCCTGTTTGCTAGCCATGGGGTTTATACAAACACAGCATGGCAAACGTCTGGCTGAAGTTAAACAGCCTGGCAGTAGCTTCTACAAATATACAGGAAAGCGTATTTTATAATTCCAGGCCTACTCTGAAGTGAACATAAGTTTTCTGTGTACTGTCAGTTAATTAAGTGAAAATAAAATCATAAAAATAAATTTTAAATATAATTATAAATCACAGCTTAACCACTTAAATACTGTATCTGAAAGCTTCTAGTAAACTTATGTATACATAACGTAAATAAATCTTTTAAGACACTTATTTTCAAATTCTGATCTCTGACAAACTGTCAAAGAAAGCACAAAGATTACATTTATGGAAGTGTAGCTTTTCTGGAATGCACACACAGGATCCACTGCCCACTGACAGGAATGCAGGGCTGTCTGAAACAGGCATCATCTTAAGTGAAGAGAGCCTTAGAAATTCAGCCATTTTTAGTCATTCTCCTGTGTAAATTCTGGAAAACAGTAATTCAGCAGAGGCACATGGAATCCACGTGCCTAACACCTTTTCCAGTTTATCAAGCAGCACATTCTACTACAAGTTAGGTAGAACAGTTTTATTAAAATCCCCATTTCCTCAGCTAGAGGATTATTATCCAGGCATTTCTTCTCAGGATCCCTCCCTCTCCTTAAATACCTGCCTTCTCTAGTTCTACTTTACCACACATCAGTCTCTTTGTCGTGATTTTTTTTTGCTCTTAGATGCGACCCAACATCTTTTATCATAGAGATTGCTATCAAAGGTGCAGTTTTCAGAACTGGAAGTGGCCTGGAGCGAACTTCCAGTTTATTTGGAAAGATAGTTTCCTCCAGCTTTGTGAACTGCATTTATTTATTAACGTTTAATTGCCATTAGCAGTACTGAACAGAAATCAAATCAACTAAGCAAAACATATTGCCAAAGGCCAATAGGAATATTACTTGAGCAATCAAGCTTGCTGTTTAGCTTCACTCTGGGAAAAACGATGTGTCCCGTAGCAGCCGCTGACCCGCACACCTGTACCATTCGCTCTGCGGCACCTTCCAGCCCGTTGCCCAGGTGAAACCCCTTGCACGGCGCTGGGGGCGGCAGAAGGGGGGTGGGGGGAAAGATCAAACCCTAAGCAACCCCAAACCCCCTCCACACAGCAGAGGGGCGGCCCGCACACCGCCGGGCTCCACACACCCGCACCTGCTCACTCCCTTCCTCAAAAGGCGGCCGCCTCCTCCTGTCCGGAGCAGCCGCCGCACGCCGCCCCACTGCCGGAGACGCACACGGCACTGCGGCTCTCGGACCGCGGGAGCTCACCCTTGGCCCTCCTCCCGACCCGACACACAACCCCTCCCAGCAGCGCATCGCGCTTAACGAAGCGGGACGCGCCATCCACTCCCCTACCCCGCCCGCCGCCTCATGGGGCGAGGCCCAGTGCCAGCGTGGGGGGCGGGACATGGGCGGGAAATAGGCGGGACCCGGTGTCCCCGCCCCGCTGTGCCGCGGCGCTGGCGGCTGTGGCGGCGGTCGGGGCTCGGCCGGTGGAGCGGGGCGGCTCTCGCGGGAGGCGGCGCCGCCGCCATGGGGGTGCACGGCGTCAAAGCGGTGTTCTTCGACTTGGACAACACGCTGGTCGACACGGCGGCTGCCGGGCGGCGCGCCATTGAGGAGGTACTGCCCTTGTCCCCTTGCTGCCCTCCGACATGGAGGCTGCGGGCACCCCCGGCCCAGCGGCCGCGGTGCCGCTCATGTCCCCCTCCGTCCTACTCGCCCCGCCGGCCGCAGTGCCGCCTGCCTCGCTGATGAGAGCCTCTTATGTGTTGCAGGTGATAAATGCCCTACAGTCGAAGCACCATTACGGGGAGGGGGAGGCCCGTGTCATCTGCGACAAGGTCCAGGCCAAGCTGCTGAAGGAGTGCCACGACCCCGCCAAGATGTGCATCACCGACCTGCGGATTTCGCACTGGGAGGAGGCGATCCAGGAGACCATCGGCGGGGAGGCGAACCGAAACCTGGCCGCAGAGTGCTACTTCCTGTGGAAAAGGACCCGCCTGCAGCACCTCACCCTGGCCGAGGACACGCGGGGCATGCTCACCGAGCTGCGGAAGGGGGTCCGCCTGCTGCTCCTGACGAACGGCGACAAGCAGACGCAGAGGGAGAAGATCGAAGCGTGCGCCTGTCAGCCCTACTTCGATGCCATCGTTGTGGGAGGGGAGCAGAAAGAAGAGAAACCAGCGCCATCCATATTTCATTACTGTTGCGATCTCCTGGGGGTGCAGCCTGCAGAGTGTGTTATGGTTGGTGACTCTCTAGATACAGATATTCAAGGAGGCCTCAATGCTGGCCTAAAAGCAACGGTGTGGTTAAACAAAGCAATGACTACCCCAGGAGATACCTCCCCAGTACCTCATTACATTATTTCTTCTGTTCTGGATCTTCCAGCGGTTTTACAGAAGATGGAGCACAAAGTGAATGCTAGGTTAGGAACTGACCACGTGGCTGGTAGTAACGCAGCACATTGATGGTTCCAGCATACGACCAGAGACGTGCTGAGCTGTTAGGTGACTCATGCACTTTCAACAGATCTGACCCCCTAGGATTTTGAACTCATGTATGGTATGCTTTCTTAGACAGCAGATGGGTGAATAAGAGCACAGTTGTCAGTGAAAACAGAATATAAATAAAGATTAATTTAAAAGATGCAAGTGAGGTTAACTTAAAACAATTGCCTCTGTCTAAATTACTTTGACAGACTGGCTAAAGTCTGTCTGTCTCAGACCTAAACTGCCAGTCTCTTGTTTTTATAGTGGAAAGAAAATTTTGAATGTTTTGATCTTTCATATGCTTTACTGACTTGTAAGTACCAGAGGCTTCAGCTCAAACCTTGTTTGCAGTGTGCAAAAGAAGGTGAGAAAAAGGGTGTGGTACACACTGGTAAATCTTCACAATTCATCTGCAGTTTATCTCAGGAACTGGAGTGAATTTTGCTGTTTCTAAAACCAGAATTTATTGACAGAATTTACGTATCAGACCATTAGAAAATGCTCTACCTTTGATCTTTTTTTCAAAGTTTTCAAGTTTTAGAATTTTTTCAGGCTTTGCAGTGACTTTTCTTTTATAGAATCTGTACCTCTTGCCAAAAGTACTTAAATGTACCTTCAAAATTTGCATTTATAGAGGGGACCATTTGTCAGAGAAACTTGATGGATAAGTTTTTATTTTATATTATTTTGGTGCTTATGAAGTTATGCAGTATACTTGTAATTCAGATTATGATATTTGTTGGAATGTAATTGATAAAACAGGGATATTTTCAATGGTCTTAATGTATTGTCAGACTCCTTAGAAGCTAATTTTATTGTTTTGTCTGATTTTATTAATGAATTTTGATCAGACCTTTTTGAGAAACTGTTTTTGCTCTTGCTCAGGTGTAAGACTACTCAGATTCAACTGCAGGATCGGAGCCTTTTTTTGACTGTTTTAATGGCAGTGCTATACAATCCCTCCTTACTTCAGTTCTGCATGTATTTCATGTGATTTACTCTGGAGAAAATATGAGCTGTTGTTTGTGAACAGCTTTCATGATTCTCTTCGAGGAAATTGGAAAATGATGGCATATGTATTACAGTATGATGTGCAACTTTATAATGTATATGTGTTATTTCTGTTAGATGCAGAAGGTCACTCTCTAAAACACTAAGATTTCTTCTTCCCAGATCATTATCTTAATAATTTAATGTTTCTGTACTTCATACTCTTACTTTATAATGGGAAAGTATTCACATATTAGATGGAAATGTAAACACTTGCTGGAAAAGCTGTGTGTTTCAAAGCATATTTGCTATATATACATTGGGCTGGATATCTGACCATATCCGAACAATCAAATTTTATGTTTTAGAATAAATCCATGACAAATCTGAGAACAGGGATATTGAGGTGCTAGCAGAAGTATGTCTGGCAAGAAAAGATGCAAGAGAAGATCAGCAAAAAGCACAAAAACTTACCAGGAAATGTGTGTATAGAAAGAATCCCATATACAAGAAAGGTTCCTTTTTTTTAACTTGACATGAATTTAAGTTAATGCAGTTAAATCTTGCATAGGATGACAGATTCAGTGTAGAGGAGGCTGTTACTGATCTGAGTTAAATTATTTGGCAAAAAGTGTATGTTGCATCAAAATATGTGCCTCCTACACTGGGGAGTGACAGGGGAAAGGAACTCCTTTCATCTAGTTGTCCCTTTAAAAAGGTAAAGCAGTCCATGTTCCTCGTGCTACCTAGGCAAAATGTTTGACCCCGGGGCACCTTTGAGGAAGTGGGTGTATGTTAACAATGATCCAGCTACACTGATGTAGGAAGCTGCCACATGTAACCTGAGCCAGTGGGGCTGACTTGACACACCTACTGAAGTAAGAGGCCTAAGTTAAGATTTTATTTCCCACGTGGGAAGAGCATGAAAACGGTCACTGGTTTAGTGAGTGAGCAAAGCATTGCAAACAACATTCAATGAAGATGATTGAGGCAATGAGAAAGAATGTGTAAAAATAGAAAGGTCTCCAAAAAGTTAGATGGATCCCTGTAAAGATAACGTATTTGAAGTAACTTGTTTTAACTGATAGAAAAGCAACAACTTCACTTACAACAGCATCCAAAAAGACCTGCATTGTTTGCCCAGCGTCAGGGTGATAGAACCTGGGTCGGAATGGGTTTTCTGATACAGCTGAGATTTAAAATAACAAATGGTAATAATTCACAATTCTGTCTGTGGGCTTGATACATGCCAGATTACCAGTCTTTAATATACATTGAGGCTTGTATTCTCTTGCCAGTGCATCGTTCTGAAATGGGATGCTTAGCCTGCTTAGTATAAAGGGGTCTCTTGTTTTAGAAGAGGCTGCTCTTTGTCATGCACTTGGGCAGCCATCTTAAATCCATGAATCTATGACAAACTGCTGTGACTGCACACTCAGGTGATAGCGTGGTCTGTGGAGGCCACAGTCAGGTATATTTTTTCCATTGCTGAGTACTGTACCAGGCTGGATGTGACTGCAACAGTGTTACTACGGTTCTACAAAAGAAGAAGAAACAATAGAAGGTATTTCTCTGTCTAGGAGTCTTCTTAGAAGCTGTTACCCAATAAGCTGGATTAAGTATCTGGAGTATCTCTAAATACTTAAAATGTTTTTCCATGGATGGGGCTCTTACAGAAAGCTTAATGAAAAATACTTGTATTTAACAAAATGGAAACATAAATGTAATGATGAGATGACTTTCACATCAGAAGCAAGAACAAATCAATAAAACAGTCAGTATTCAGTTCTAGCTAGGTTCTGGTTTTGCTTAGTGTTATGCTTTATTAGCTGTCTAGTTTAAATTATATTGCCAAAACACACTAAATAAAAAGGAAAAAGAAATTCCATCTATATTTTATTGTATTTTTTTAGATAAATATTGCCTCCTGAGGGTAATTTACAGTAATCTTGACTTTAGTGAAACTATAGTTTAATATCAACTGTATTTTAATTCTTGATTTTAAAATAACCTATGTACTAGTGTAATAAAAGTATTTTGTTTATAAAACATTTCTTTAAAATCTGTATTACTGTGGATAACTCTGTGAGCAGGTTTGCAACAAAGGGCAAGAGTTCTGTTTGGTTGGGTTTTTAAATAGCAAAGAAT